CAGTCACAAGCCCAGGCTCCGGATGTGGAGGCTGACCCACACGGAGGACGCAGGGACATGGGAGGCAGCAGCCACAAAGCTCCAAGAGGCCCCACCGGGGCGAGCATCTGACAAATTACTCATACGCTCCGGTCAGTCAGATCAAATGGAGATTAACAACTGCTGGACTTTGCATGAGTTCACTCACATCCTCTTAGTCCTCAAAAACGGTCTCAATGGTGATGACGATGACAGTGACAACGGTGGTGATGACAGCTTTCTGTACATCTAGCAGCAAAATCTTTGGGGGAGGAGGTCGCTCAAAGAATTTTATTTGTTTCCAAGGCAAAAACCGAATAATTCTTTTTTACTGAGAAAAAATTCATATAGCATATAACTCGGCATTCCTATGGGTACAATCTAGTGATTTCCAGTGTGTTCATAATATTTGGCAACCATCGCTACCAACTTCAGAACATTCCCATCACCCAAAGGGAAATGCCATGCCTGTAACAGTCACTGCCAACTGCCTCCTTCCTCCCATCTCCTGGAAACCAGGACACTTACGTGGCAAGCCTGCACATGGGCCCCCTGAATCTAAAAATATTAAAATTAAAATTTGAAAATGAAAACACAACCCACAGAATGGGAGCGAACATTTGCAGGGCTCCTGTATTCAGGACATATAAACAACTCTTACAGCTCAACAGCAAAAAGGCAAATAAACAATTAAAAATAGGCAAAGGAGTGGATACTATTTCTCCGAAGAAGAGATACCAATGGCCCAATAAAGCACATGAAAAGATGTCCAGCTCCATCATTAGGGAAACACAAACACAAACCACAATCAGATACCACTTACCCCTCAGAATAGCTGCGATCATTTTAAAACAACCTCAGTAGCAAAACTTTCCTTCTCTCCCCACCACCCTGTGTGGGCATAGACGTAAGGGGGTCCCCACGACTGCTCCCCAGGGCCCCGTGGTGACGCCCCTTCCCTTGTGTGGGCGAGGCCAGGCCAGGGTGTGATGAGCGCCTCTTTCCCAGTGGTGATGGGGTCCCTTGGATGAGCTCCCCCAGCAAGCCGGAGGGCACTCCCCTGCTGGCCTGGACGAAGCAAAGGGCCATGCTGTGGAAAAGCCACGTGGCAGGGGGGCCGTGGGCCTGCAGGAGCTAATGGCCTCCCACTCGGAGCCTCAAGGAAGTGAATTCGCATAGCTCCCAGGGAACCTGAGAAAGGGTCCTGAGCCTCAGAGAAAACCATGGCCTGGCCATCCCCTTCATTTCGACCCAATGAGACCCTAAACAGAAGACTCGGCTTCTCAGAGCACGACCTCCTGACCCACAGACACTGGGAGGTCACGATGCGTGTCCTTCTAAGCCACTACATTTATGGTGGTTGCCAAGAAGCACAGAAAAATAACATAACCCTTCAGCTGGGTCACACCTACCCTCTTTCCATAAAGCCCGACTCCTCCGAGTGTATTTTTCTTGCATTGCCTATAATATTTTTCCCAGATGATACATTTAACAATATGCTTTGAATAAATACTTTTTGTTCTAACATTAAATGAACAAAAAAAATTTAAAATAACTTTAAAAACCAGGCCAGGCATGGTGACTTGCACTGTAATTCCAGCACTTTGGGAGACTGGTACAAGGGGATCGCTTCAGCCCAGGAGGAGTTCAAGACTAGCCTGGGCAATATAGTAAGACCCCATCTCTACACAAAGAAAATAAAACAGCTGGACGTGGTGGTGTGTGCCTGTGGCTCCAGCTACTCCAGAGGCTGAGGTAGAAGGATCACCTGAGCCCAGGAGGTCGAGGTGGCAGTGAGCCACGATCGTGCCTCTGTACTCTAGCCTAGGTGACACAGTCAGTCCCCGACTCAAAAACAAACAAACGTAAATTGTCACTATTTAAATATGGGCAGTGGCAAAGCTGAACGTTTTCAGAAAAAGGCATTTCATGCCAATATTTTTTACCCGGGTGTATAATTTGACATCAAAGTGTTTCTTAGTTAACTCCTGACATTTCACAATACCTGTTCCTGGCCTCTTTGTACTTTATGAGAGATACACTGCTCGCCTCTTCCACAGTGAATTGCTGAGTTGCCTTTACAAAACACCCTTATCTGGGGGTGGGAGGGTAGGGGGAAGATGAACACCCTTACCTGAACGACGGGCACCAAAACAACATTGTGATAGATCATAGGAGCGAGCAGGCCATAACACTGAGTGGCAGCTTGAAGGGCGTAGCTGGCATCATTGAGAAAGTTGCTAAGTTCCAGCGCCACGAGCACCCGCTCGCACTCCATCAGTCTAGCGGCCTGCAAAGAAGTGGCATCGTTACTCGAACTGAACGCCAGGCACGTCGCGTGTGTCTCCAAGGAGAAGCAAGGGAGAACTGTGGGCCACCCTGTCGTTTGGCAACAACACGAATGTTGGTGTCGAAATATAAACTTGGAAACAACTCTCACTACCCAGTGATGCTGGCATCGAGAGCACAGTATTATCAGCAAATGTCAGAATTGCTGGAAAAAAACACAAGTGCCACTAATAAGAGAAGGAACCAATCTGGTTCATTGGTAAAATAAAATCGCCACTATACTTTTAGGTTGGAGAAAAATCTAGTGTTCAAAAACAAATGATAACAACAGTTAAAATATATAACATCTCTGTAATGCTGTCCTCACTTGATTACAGATTTCTACTTCCCTTTTTGATTTGTGAGAAAATGGCAAATTTTCAGTAAAACCAACTAAACCTCTACTTCTGCTACGTATGCTTTTGCCACTTAAAAATGAGAATGAGAATCCAGTCGGGGTTTTGAGAGCACATGCCACTTAGAGAGACCAGTGATCCCTTCTCGCTCCTTTTTTTCCCTTTCCTGGGGTAAGATTCCATTCGTTCTGGGAGCACACTCAAGGTTATGTACAGAGAAAGCTGTCTGAGTGGTGGCCAGGAATGTCTGAACAGCCAGTTTTCACTGCAGTGGTGGTCCAGCATTCTGAAATCACTGAAGTCTCCAAAATTGTCTTTCTTTTCAGCCTGAACATGCTGGAAGAAGACACCAAACGCATGAGTAGGATCGGGTTGATGGCTGTGAGCTCCTGGGCTCTGCAGGACAGTGACCCTGTCTTGGAAAAAGCCACATTTTTTACTTCATGTCCTCAGAAGCTAGCATAGTCTCATTTAACAGTTCACTGGCTAATGAATGAATGAATGAATGGGTAGGAAGAAACGACTGTTAAAGAAAACAAATGCAGACGGAGAAAGCCTCACGCCTACAGTGAGTAAAGACGGGAGGAGAAGGAAGGGCGAGCCCAGAGCAAGATGGTGGTTACAGCAGGCACACGGGGGTGGCCGGTGCCCATGGAGCCATGTGTGCTGCCTCCCTAACAGTGAAGTCCTGCCTCCGCCCAGGACGCAATGTCAGCGTGAAGAAGAGTGCGTCAGGTGATGTGCACTAGCGTGAAAACAGGTCCAAGATGATACAGAAAGTGCCAAAAAGGCAAGTTGCAGGCGCATGTGAGAAAAAAAAAGACAATGACAAGTTTGTCTATTTTAAAAAATGAGAGAAATCACATGCAAACAAAATTGTGGTAGTCTTAGAGGCAACAGGATGACGATGGGTTTTGCTTTATACGTCATGCATTGTTTAAATATCTGAAATAGATACTACTTTTGCACACAGGGGAAAAGACAAATGAAAAATGGAGAAGACAAAACATGACTCAGGCCTGGGAAGCTGAAATGGAAGATCAAGTGAAGCAGCCCCATCGCACAGCAGCCTCTCGCCACGATGAGATGGCATGTGTTCCCCACACACGTCACTGTAAACATCAACAAGCAGGTGTGGTGGATCGGACGTGCTTGGGGTCACTTTAGTTCACTTACTTGTTGAGAGGGGAAAATCTCGTTGCCTTTAATGTTATCACAGAAGAGATTTTCTTCTTTAATTTTCATGTCACTTGTTACAAAAATATTTCTAAGAAAAAGGTACAAGAGGATCGAAGACGTCTCTGCCAAAATATCTGAACGTAACCTGCAGAAAGAAGTGAAGGATGTTACAGGAGGAAACGAAAGCAGCTCAGCATGTGAGCGGGCCTCTGCGGACCAACTAATTCTCAACACCTACAGGAGCCCAGGAAAGCCAAACAAGTGTGAACGGCCAGTCTCGCACAGACTTTCTGCAACAACAGGGTCACAACTATTGTGAGAAAACTAAGCTGCTGAGATATGATGTCGCAGATACATGAAATCAACTTGTGGAAAATAAAACAAGACTGGTGGTTCTAATAGCTAAAGTTCTCTTCTACCGATATAACACAACCACTATAGATTTCCAGAAAGTTGAGAAATGGGCCCAATATCCCCGCTTCTGAACACGAGGGCCGAGCTTGGCTGTAGCTAACAAGAGCCTTGCGTGCTGGGATCATGTGTCATGACGTCTTCCGTAGTGCAGTCCCCGTGCCAGCAGCAGGCGACACCACAAGGCCTGCACCGTCTCCCCTCTTGGCGCCCAGTGGGCACGGCCTGCGGCCTCCCTCGGCAACACCCCAGCCCCACCCGAGCCTCAGGGTCATCTGCCCCCTCCCCGTGCCACCTCCCTAAGGACAGGGTCGGCCCTGACATCAGTGACTCCCCCGCCTGCTGGACTCCGACGTCACCTTCACTGGAGAACGCGACCCCCCCCGACTACTCCCTCGCTGCCTCTTTCTCCCGAGGGCCTCAGACCCAGACACGTGTGTCAGCTCCTGACTCCATCTCCTTCCCTGCCAGTTCAGCGCTGGTCAGACTTTTTTTTAATGTGCCATTTATTTTCATTCCATACAAACGGTACAGACATAGGCCCGATGCCCGATGTGGTGGTTCACGCCTGTAATCCCAGCGGTCAGCCTTTTCAATGGCAGCCTTCCCAGCACGTTAGTTCCTGCCAGCTCTTTGTCGTACGGACATCCAACTCGCCTGGCCTTGCGCGCTGCCGCTGGCCCACTGCTCTATCTCTGTCCACACTCAAGCACATATTCACCTGTGTGTTTCACTCATTCTTTCTTCCCTTCACGGAGCTAGCGCTTGCTGAATGCTGACTAGGTCCAAGACGCTGTTCTGGACGTGGACTTGAAGATGAACCGCCAGGAGCTGGGTTCCACTGCCAACCGTGTCGACGCCCTCGGCTGAGTCAGCCCCACCGCCGGCAGCACCACCCTCACCCCGGCGTTGCGGGTCCACGCTCCCACGGAAGTGCTCTACATCCCGTTCGTTGCACCTCCCAGCCCCACGGCCACAGCGTCCTGGCCACACGTGGCCCTGCAGTCCCTGCCTCTCTCCCGGCTCCCACCCTCCAGCCCAGGACCCTTTCCTTGCCCCACGGTTCTGCCCGCCTTCCTGCTCTCCTCACCCCAACACTTCACGAGAGCAGGCCTTGCTTGCCCAGCTCTTTACTTTTTCCTGAGCCAACTGCGGCACGGTTTCTGGCCTGCCACACCACAGAGGTGACGCCAGGATTCACCAACGGCCTCCTCGTGGCCAGTCCACAAAGCTCTTCTTGGTTGGCCCTGCTCCTCCTCCATGGCCCTCTGTGGAGCAGCGGCTCTCACTGGCCTTGCGTGGGCGCCAGCATCCCTGGCCATCTCCCTGGCGGCGCTCCCCGCCTCGGCAACACATGTGACTAGGAGCTTTCAGCCCCGGGACAGCCCCTGCCCCAGCTTCTCCAGCTCTGCCTCCCGCTCCTGCCCCTCAAGTGTGAGCACGCCTGCAGTCAGCTCCAGCCTGCCCTCCTCCCTGCTAAGCAGCCATTCCCTGGGGGTCGTGCTCATGGCCAAGGCTTCGGGAATGACCCCGGTGGACACTGGCGAAACCCGCATCTCTCGCCTTGACTCTCCGGAGCGTCGGCACTAAATGACCAGGCCCGCTGGCCTCTCACGTCCTGCTGGAAAACCAAACTCACGAAGTCCCCACCCAGGTTACTCATCTTCTCATGACCCCCAGGACATGCCACGGGCTTCCCCACCAGCCAGCACTGAAGCCCCTCCTCTCCTTCCCTCATCGAACCCTCTATTCAGTGGAATCCAAGCCCGGTCTCCCCCTCCTCCTCTGTGTCCCTCAAACCCACCAGCCGGCACCTCACATCCCTGCACACAGAAAATGCTACGTCGACTTGTGCTTGCTTGAACATGATTATACTTTTCATATAAATAAGAATTATAAGTGCCTTGCTTCAACCAGTGCTTTCAATTTTAAGCTCACTGTCTTTGACCGAAGAGTGAAGGACTTTGTCTTCTTGCTTAAAAACCTTCAGACATCAACAAACAGGTGAGGGTGATTCTCATGGCTTGGGTCCTTGCTGAGGGCCTGAAGTCCACTAACGCTCACTCCTGAGGCTGCTCTGAAACTGTGTTCTTCCGAGGAAAACGGCCGCGAAGAGGAGGGGGGCCTGAGTGGTACATGGCGCCTGCCGGCCCGCTTGCCATTGCTGATGGCCTGACCCCGGAGCCTCCCTCCCTGCAGCCCACCACGGACCCTAACCTTCATGCCAGTCGCACTGCCCCTGGTGCAGAAACTCCCAATGCATACTTAACGTTTCCTGGCATATACTTTGGTCAGTGTTTTTATTTGATGACTTTTCTTCTTAGACCTCTAGGGATTTTTCTGACTCTAGCAAGAAAATTTCTAAGAAGGACTCAAAATCTTGGAATGTATACTCTTATTACAATTATTATTAGGAATAGTTTATATGGCCGGCCACAGTGGCTCATGCCTGTGGTCCTAACTACTGGGAAGACTGAGAGGCAGGAGGATCACCTGAGCCCAGGAGTTCAAGGCTGCAGTGAGCTGTGATGGCACCACTGTACTCCAGCCTGGGCAACAGAGCAAGATCCTGTCTCTAAAAAAAAAAAAAAAAAGTTAAATAAGAAAAGAAAGAAGGAAATTGTTTATATGATTATATGAACTATCTTAATAGCAAACTGAAATTAAATTAATTCTAAGACCCATACCGACATCTATATTTTCAATAAGCAAATTAACACATTAAAAGAATCTCTCTCATTACCTTCTCTGTGTAATCGTCATTATGTTGCTTAAACAAATAACAGACTGTTCATCCTGAAGTGGTGAAGAAACAAAATAACCCCAAACTGGAGAGAAAACCTTCTTAGCCAACTCATAGTGGCCGGTCTGGTAGGCAACCTGCAAGAAGAGCACACGTCTCAAGCAGTTGGTATTTGTGAAATGCACACATGAAAGAAAAGCCCATATACTGCCCTCTCACACATGAATTCACATTTGCCGTCTGTTCTTCGGTGCCTCAGGTAATGACCAATGGCAAGGAAGACAGACATATTTGTTGAAATCTCTTTTATTTCTAAATTACATGGAAATTTGAAACTCTGTAAGGATGTTTCAAATCCTCCTAAGAAAAACAAAGATCACGTGTGAGCCAAATTAATTTCATCTCCATCCATCTTGGCAGTGCATGCCATTTATTATAGATGCTGCTACAATGAACAATCTGTTCCAGGAGAAACAATCAGATTTCCCAAGCCCAAAATATGAAAATTATTTATTCTTTTCTGGTTCTGACTGACACTTCTGGAGCTTCTGTGCAACAAAAAGTTCACAGCTGAGAAGCATAGGGAATAAAACAGAGAAGGTTTCCCAAAGCCATGGTGTGCTTTTAGCTAAACGCATTTCACATCAGGCAAAAATAAATGATTTCACTAGTAAAGTCAAAAAGCTCAGGAAAATGGATAGCATAAAAATTATCGACTCACCTATTTCTTTTGGTAGAATATACTTCTTCAACATATTTCTGAAAGCCTTTCATTTAAATGTGTAAGCAGCAAGACCAAGTCTCACCAGCTGAGCGATGTGCTGCCTCAGAGCCCTCATGGAAGCAGGTGGGCAGGCACCAAGGAGAAAGACGCTCATTACAGTCACAGGAGAGGGGCCGGTTCAGCGAGGAGCGACACAGGCATGCAGCATGGGACCCCCGCCCGACGGGGCAGCAGAAAGGCACAGGCTGGTCCCAGTGTGGGGCCCGCCACCTGCTGCCCGAGCCTTGAGGCCATGACTCCACCCATGAGATGCCCCTGCCGGGCACAGGGGGATTGGCAGAGGAAGGATTAAATTCCTCTCGGCTTCCTCAGCAGTTAACACCAAAGCCACCGCACCACCTCAGAGCTGCTGTGCCACACAGAACCCTGAGTGGCCACGCCTGGCACCCAGGGGCTTGATCAACGATATTCCTCCTTTCCCTGTCTCAACAAGCATTGTGCCTGCTCGCTGTGATGAGAGATGCAATAATTCAGAAGGCAGCTTTTGGCCCTAGACCCATCCCCAGAGAGGGAAATCGAGGCCAAACAGTCTGCCTGAAATTGTAATCTCCAAGGTCAAGATTCAAATCCTGCTCACAGATTTCTAGCCATTTTCCCCTTGAAGAGGAAGGGTAAAAAGAAAGGAGACCAAAAAGCAGAGAGAGTATCCTCAGAAGAATACATACTTCAAAAAGCTTCCTCCAAAATTTCCAGATAGACTAAATTAACAGCCTCCTATACTTAAGGAAAACCCAGTAAAGACGGACCTGCCTTGACTGTTGTTTACAGAATAATGCTGAATAAAATCCCAAAAGCCAAGTTCATCACAGGCGTTTCATGAACTATCTCTATGCCTCACTATAACACATTTATAACAACGCGTTTAAAGAGCAGGAGTGTCGTGAAACTAAAAACTAACCACCCTCATGAAATCACAAAGAAAGGCACAGCAGCTGGAACTAAAGCACCCGACCTTACATTGTGCCATGAGGAGGCTAGGGTGAGACAGTCTGCCTGGCCCTCAGCCCTTTGGGGGGCCTACAGACTCCCCAAGCTGGACCCAGGGCCACAGCAGCGTCCATCAGGCCCCACAGGCCCCACCCAGGACACAGCTTGGCCCTGCGGGACCACTCCACGCCGTTTTAGGGGCTTTCAGTGGAAGTTCTGCCACATGGAGCCAAGAGTCAAGCCGCTTCCTGGAGAAAACGTAGGCCTTGACGAAATAAGTCAGTTCCTCTGGATAGCTCCATGACTGAAAGTTAAGGAACTCTTTAGATGCCAAAGTCATCAAATATCAGAAAGCCATAGGCCAACGTGACATGTCCACCAGCGCTAGCAAAATCCTGGCAATTCTCTCCATTTCATTCTCCTGAAAATAGGGTAACATAAAATGCCACAAAATCTGAGACTATGATACTAATCAACTAGTCAGAGAAAGACAGCACAATGGAAGTGTGATCCACAGCCAGTAACAGGCTCAAAATGGGATGCCCGAGCCCAGGTCAGTGAGTCACTCTTCCTGGTGTCCGCTCCCCCCAGCGACGTGTCTTCGATCAGACTACAGCAATTTCAGCAGAAACGCCAGTTCACGAGCCAGCCCATACCTAAAAAACAACACTCGTTCCCAGCACCCACATGTGGTAGGTGCCACAGCTCAGTGCCCACCATGCTTAGTTCCCTTGAATGTTCACAAGGCCCTAGGAGGTGGCTGTCATTGCTACTCCTGTCGCAGATGACCATTACTTACTTGTCCAATGCTACATGGCTAGTCCGAAGAGCTGAAATTGGAACTCAGGTCTGTCTGTCTCTATTGACTCAGAAATTTCACGTTTATGCATTTATGCTAAGAAAGTAATCAGGGGTGTAGTAAAGGTTTACATGCAAAGACATGCATCATAGTTTTGTTTATAATAGCAAAAGACTAGAAGGTGTCTAAGTGTCTAGCATGGAGAATTATTAATAAAATGTGATATATCCATAAGATTCAATACCATGAAGCCATTAAACGTTATATTTAAGGCCTGGCATTGTGGCTCACACCTGTAATCCCAGCACTTTGGGAGGCCAAGGCAGGAGAATTGCTTAAGCTTAGGCATTCAAGGCCAGCTTGGATAACATAGCAAGACCTTGTCTCTACAAAAACTCAAAAAGATTAGCCAGGCATGGTGGCCAGCTTCAGCTTCTGTAATCCCAGCTACTCAGGAGGCTGAGGTGAAAGAATTGCCTTGGCCCAGGAGGTCAAGGGTGCAGTGAGCTGTGATCATGCCACTGCATTCCAGCCTGGGTGACCGAGTGAGGCCCTGATTCAAAAAAAAAAAAAAAAATATATATATATATATATATATATATATGTATGTCTTGGAAGAATACTTAATAGAATGGAAAAATGTCAATTATATGTTAAATGAAAACACCAGGATATAAAATAATATGTATATTATGATTAAACTGATATATTGTCTATAAATTCATATATAGCGTGTGTTTGCATACATACATGCGCATGCATATGTACGTGTATTATCTAAATGGGAGGTAGATGACAGACCGATCAATTGATCGATAGAAAGAGCAATAAGCAGATAAGCAGAGAGACAAACAACAATAAAAGGAGGCCTCTGGATTAGCGCTTCTCAGCCGGCACTGCTGACGCTTCTCCCTGTGAGTCTGTCCTGTGATGGTCCGAGCACTCCAGGCTGTCCAGCCGCCCTGACCTCCACTGTGGATGCACCTCTCTACTCTGAGAAAACCAACAATTTCTCCAGACACTGACAACATTGCCCCAGGGTCAGAACCCCTTCTCTGGATGATAGGATAACTTCTTCAGGCATTTCAGTGCTTTCCAAAATTTCTAAAATTAATATGTGTCACATTTGTAATCCAGGAAAAAAACATGTTATGGTAAAAAAGCAAATTCACTAATAAGAGAACAAATAATCCCAATTTCATGCGAGTAAATCATAATAACGGAGAATGTGTATTGCAAGAGCTTTAGAATATCTGCTGTGATTTTTATTTTCCATCAGAAATTACTTCATAACTGCTTAATGGAAGAAATGAGCAGAGGTCTCTCTACCTGTGTCAGGAACATCCGGGCCGTGACAGCAGAGAGAGGTGGGTGGACCAGGATGGGCTTGGTGGCCTCCCCGACAGCCTCACCCACAAGCCTGCCATCGTCAGAATAGGCGGCAACTGCGAACACGTAATTCTCGTTGGTTTCCAAGCCCTTCACTTCGAAAGTGCTTTTGCCATCAGCTGGTATCTATTAACAAAAATGTATTTCAAGTTATACATGGAAAATTAAAACAGCATGACGTAGAATGTAATGAAGTAAACTTTACATGTGTAAAAACAAAGCCTCTTTCCTTCGCTGCTGGATTTTAGTTATGACCCAAGTTGAGATTAGACAGACTCACTGAAATAATGACTTCATAAGAAAAAACACGGGCTGGCACGACTAAGGCCCTGGGGAGGTGTCCTGACACTCAACCGCATACCGCTTCTCCTGAATCGGGGAGGTGAGTGTCGTTCAGCCGCACTTTCCCGTAACTTCCTTCTGCTTTGCAGCCCAAGAGGCAGTACCAGGAGACCTGCAGGGGAGAGATACTCATCACCTGCGCTGCTTAAGGGACGTCCGGATGCCTTCATCTCAGCGCAGCATGAGGAATACTTTCCTAAATAAAAACGGAACTACTAAGTTTTAAAGCTTGAAGTCCAAGCTTACAAGTACACACAGGTGCAGTCTTAGAAAAGTGGAGACAAGTACAAGGCTAGTTGACCTGGGACAATCAAGGCTACAATATTATTCATCACTAATCATTTTAACTGCCACGAATGGAGCGGTTCCTATGCGCTAGGCATTGCCAGGAAACTTACAGACACTCTAATGTGCGCAGCATCCCTGGGAGATGGGACAGTTGCTGCCATTTCACTCTACAGGAGATGGAGGTGCAGAGACATTAAATAACTTTGATCAAGACAGACAGACAGACAGAGGCGGGGTTGGCTCCTAAAATACCCTAATCTTGATGGAAAAAAGGTCAACATTGAAATGACTTTTATTTAATGTGATATGACAAAAAGGGGCGAGTGGGAAAAGAAGCAAGATACTAACTGGCAGTATTTTAAATAAAATGCAAAAATACACATGAAAAACCCTGGAAGAAAACTCCCCTGACAACACAACAGTAGGGTTGGGTGGTCACATGGGAAGACGTAGGCAGAGGATGGGAAACGTTTTTCTCCAGTTACACATGCTCTGAAACATGATATTACTTTGATAATTTGTAAATATACACAAACCAAACATAAGGTGCAAATCCCACAGAAGCAACCGAACTTAAACTTGATGGAATGGGCAGACAGCAGCCTTGCTGGCATAGTGATGGATAATGAGCTATTCTTGCCTCCAGGAGAGCTGTAGGATGACACTGGGTGGGGCCTCGCGGCTCTTAGACACAGGGAAGTGGCAAGAAGAGGCGCTGTCCTTGCCTCTGAGGAGCAGCCACTGCCCACTGCCCCTGCCTGAGGACGGCAGGAAAGCGGTTCGCGTGGCCAGTCCAGACGAGGGGCCTCAACCCCAACTGTGTTCCACGATCGCTTCTTCAAAACATGCATTTGCGCAGAACCAAGCCCTGCCTTAACTTGCAGCTTCGGTGAATTCGAATTGCCAGCGCAAGTGTCCGAATCTCTGTGTATCCAAAGAAAATGTCTTGGATGACTGAAGGGCAAGGGCAGGAAGACGAGTCAACAGACGGAACCGGAAGCTGGAGGCCAGGGGACGCCAGGCAGGCCTCAGAAGAAACCGCAAAGCCAGCCCCCCTCAGCCTCCCATCAGAGAGAGCGCCCCACGGACAGTGCGGGCAGCTCGGATCATTCCTGCCCCGAGTTCTGATCCCTAAGCCAGAATTCTCCCTAAAAGCATTTGTCAGCAGGCTTCCTATTTGTATTTTGTTCCATAGATGAAAGCATCTGAGCTTGGGGCACTCTGAGGAGCTGTATGTGGCAGGAATCCACACCAGGGCAGAGACACCACGAGCCTCTACACACAGGTCGGCACCATCAGCATTTTCAGCCTCCAAGGCGCCAACAGCTCAGCAAGAGACTCCCCAGACCAAGATGGCCGGAGCCGCAAGCCAGGAACCATCCCTGAGCCCATGGTGCCACCTAGTGCCCAGCGAGGGCAACTAGGTGACCCTGTCTTGGAGGCCCCAGTGTTTGGTGTGCGCGAAATTCAACAGGTGTGACAAGGCCTGCAGCCCCAGGCCAAACGCGGGACTCCTCTGTCCTCACACCTCCAAGCACTAGGGGATGCCTGGAATATGCAGGTGTTTATAGATAGGCGTGTGTGTGTGTGTGTGTGTGTGTGTGTGTATGGCACCCGCACACGCACACACACCCACACCCACACCCACACCCACACACACACACACACGATCACTAAATTGAAACCGATAACACATAAGATTTCGGTCAAATAAACCAAAATATTTGAATACAAAACAAAAACTCTTAGTAAACCATCCAGTCTTAGTTCTGTACCAATCTTCCAAACTCGGTATGGCTCTACTCTCACGCAGACTCAAAGCATCCAAAGTTGAGCTTTAAAACCAGGGGCAACAGCAGCAACACATTCGTGACAGCACACGTTGTTGTTGGTTCTGACAACCCTCTCGCTCATCTGAAGCTCCTCAGAGTTGAGGTGCATTTAATCTGCATTTCTCTTTACGTATCAATGACCCTGCATGGAGCTTGACAGATTATAGGCACTCCATACATGCTCGTGGGACAGAATTCAGGAAAAAGACCAAATAGTGCAATCACAGTCTACAAATTCATTACTTGTTTGGAGCAAGCTTTGCTACTTATGTTGAACACAAGCAATGAAAAGATATCCATTCAGATGCCAAGAATAGTGCTATCTCATTTAACGTTCACAGTAAGCACACTGTACAACTGGGGATAAAAAAACCACCTCGGAAAATGCATTCAGCTCTCCCGAGGTCGCACGGCTGGTGAGGGAAGGAGTCGGAATTCAACCCAAATCTCAAAGCCAACTCAAAGTCCAACTCAAAGCCTGTGCTCTTCCTGCTACACCAAGCTGGAGTCAATTCAAGAGAGCATCCGAACAAGAATCAAAGGTAAAACATCAAAGAGCAGGTTGGTGATCATTCAAAAGAGGAAAACGTCATATTTAAAGTACGAATTAGGTGGAACCAAATTCTTGCAAGGAAACGAAGGCTCCAGTTTTGGCCACATTTAGGCCAAGTTCCAAGGCATTGGGGAGAGAAGAAACAGTCATCCTTCAGCAAACACCCAAAAGTCTGTGAGGAGTAATGTGGCTGGCACTGCCCCTCTTTGCACTGAAAGAGTCTACGTACACTTGGAAGAGCTCTGGGCAGAGCCTCCAGATTCAGTCCCCAGGTTTCCCCATCTCCTGCCTCATTCCCATCATGGGCTCTGCGTGATGTCTGGCTGCACTTCTGGGAGAGCCTCCATCCTGAGCGCACGAGGGCATGGGCACAAGACTGTGCCGTGGTGACAAGGACGCTGACCGGGAGACACCCTCCACCGTGTCTCCTGACCGTGTGGGGGTACAGCGCGCTCCATGGAGCATACCCTCAACAGCACAGAGACGCAGCACCATGGAGCAGCAAGGCACAGATGAGACACAGGGACACCAGCCAGTGTCCCGCGCTTGCACATGGGACCACTCGCGTCCTGAGAGCAGCAGACGCAGGACTCATGGGAGCCGCAGAGGTGCCCGTTGCTCGGCACCGTCACAGCAGACACCGTACCTTGACATCCGAGCTGAACGGAGCGGGTCTGAGTGTCACTGAGCGGTGAGTCCGGGACAGCAGGACAGGGGCGGGGGGCACTCTGCTCCCCGTTCTCTTTGAACTCTCCACATGTTGCTGACTTGAATAAAGGGCACTTTGTTCTGTCTCCACCTTCTCAATCAAAGAGTATGCTTCCTGTTTCAAAAAATGTGAAAACAGAAAGACACATTTCAAGAGCTTGGACTTCATTTATATTTACAAAATTCTGGTGATGGTACGCAGTTTTTCGAGCCTTGGAGGTATATATAGACAGGTGTGTGTGTGTGTGTGTGTGTGTGTGTTCATATATACACACTCCAAACACACTTCACTCTGGCACAAACACCGGGGCTCTTTCCCCCACAGAAGAGAAGTCAAGTCTGCAGTTTCCCTTTGGACACCTGGACCTCAGCTCAGGAGAGTTCTGAGGCTGGAGACAGGACCTGGGTGAGCAGCAAGGGACACTTAAAGTGGGCGAGTAATCAGGTCCTATGGGAGTGAAGAGCATAAAACCACAGAGCCAGGCATCTTGCCCTAAGATAATGAATCCTGACCTACATCGTGATCAGAATGAACTCCTCTGGTCCCTCCACTGTCCCCATGTTTTCATTCACTCGACCCAATGGAGAAAAAAGGACAGTAGCAAAGGGATGGAACAAAGGCTCAGAGAGCCAGGTGGTGCAGTGGCTGTGTCTCGAGAGGCCCAGCCAGACCGCAGAAGGGGCAGCACTGGTGAGCCTGCAGCGTGGCCAGCAGCCTTCCACCCGCAGAGAATGGCGACCTGGGGGCACCAGGGGAGACAGCCTTGGAGGAAGGGGAAAAGACCAAGCCACGTGGGTGAGGGCTCCCTGACACCTGGGAAACCCGAGAGAAGACGCTTCTGCTTGAGCAGGAGGGAGGGGGAAGCATCGTGCTTTGGACATGTAATGCTGCCACGCAGAGACATCTCAGGCGACACAGCCCGCAGAAGCGAGGCCACACCCATGAGAACGTGGTGATGTCTCCTTCCTCTGGATTCTTTCAGAGCCCGTAGGATGTTCCAGCAGCCCTGCCCACTGGCCCTGACACTGTAGACAGCAGCCTCTGACCCCTCTGCTGACCAGCAACCTCTGGGCTCCCACATCTTGTGAGTTTGTCTTGGCAGGTCCTGCCCCCATGAGCTGGGACACGCAAGCCTTCTGACCTGACTCTGGCCTCCTCTCTCTGCACATCAAGGATCCCAAAAGGGGTCCACTGAACGACTGGCTGGTCTGTATCATCTGTGGTGCTCACTTAAGAATCAGAATGGCCCACTTCCCGCCCAAAGCGAAAACCTCCAGGGTGAGGCGTGCGACGTGGACAACTCCAAGGAGCCACAGGCTGGGAACCGCGGCTTCTAAGGGGCAGATCTGCCGTTCACTTCTGCCTTCCTACCAACCCCCGCAGCTTCAGCTCTCCAGGCCTTCCACGGCTCCTCTGACCCTGCCAGGGAAGGCAGACACCCCCCGGCCCTTCGCCCTGATGGTACCTGCGTTTGCCAGCTGTGTCCCCTTCCGGCTCTTCCCTCTCCCGTGCCCACCGCTCTCCAACCTGATCTCGGAAGCCATCGAAGCAAGGGCTCCCCTCATTCCCTGGCGCGCTGTGCTCCTTCCCGCCTGGGGTCTTGGCCCATGCATGTTCCTGTTCCCACAGCATCTTACGTTCTTACGTCCTCTTCTCTGCCTCAAGACCCACTCAAGCTTTACTCCTCTGATGTCTTCCAAGACAGCCCCATGTGCTTAAAGCCCTCCCTTGCCTCCACCTCACAGCATCTCCGTTTTAACACAGCGGTCTCCAACCATTTGGGCATCGGGGATCGGTTTCACGAAAGACAATGGGGATGGGGGGATCATCAGGCTTCAGACGCTCATACGGAGCGCCAGCCTAGATCCTTCCCACACACAGTTCACAACAGGGCTCATGCCACCACTGATCTGACAGGAGGCAGAGCTCTGCTCACCTGCCACTCACCTCCTGGGGTGCAGCCCGGTTCCTAACAGGCCACAGACCAGTACTGGTTCATGACCTGCAGGTATTGTGCATGTGTTGCCTGCATACGTGACTGCCCACACCCTCTAGATAGCGAGTGTCTTGGTGGCAAAGACAGTGCTTTATCACTTCAGGTTCGGTCGATGTACTCTGAATGAAAGACAAACTAAACCATGACACTATAATCTATCTGAAGGTAGTGTGCTTTGCTGGCTTTATGTGTGTTGTTTGGTTTTTGTTTGGGATTCGTTTTTTAGAGACAGGGTCTAGCTCTGTCACTCAGGCTGGAGTGCAGCAGCACAGCCACAGCTCACCGCAGTCTCTAACTCCTGGGCTCAGACAGTCCTTCCACTTTGGCCTCCTGAGGAGCTGGGACTACAGACACAAACCATGCTCAGCTACGTTATTTTTTCGGTAGAGATAAGGTCTTGCTATGCTGCCCAGGCTGGTCTTGAAGACCTGGACTCAAGTGATCCTTCAGCCTCAACCTCCCAAAGTACTGAGATTACAGGCATGAGCCACTGCGTCAAGCCAGACAGCATGTTTAAAATGCTCTCACTGGGTCTTGATCAATTTTGACTTTAAGCCCCTGGCTCAGATGCTACGATCCAATTTGAAATAGTTTAACAGAAATACTAGTTTTAAGTGAAAGGTAACAAGAGAAAAGTCTCGAAGTCCTGATTTAGGTAAACCAGATAAATTCTAAAACAGAATCCAAACTATAATGCTAGTTAGAAATCAGAATCCTATCTCAGCCAAATCATTGAATCGCTAAGATTTCATTTATGAGAAAATGATAGCAAACTTTTTAAGGGGATTCCTCAACTAAAAAGGAGAAAATAGCATCAGAAAAGAAGCCCCCCCCAAAAAAAATCAAGAAGAAAAAATTTCCATGTAACCAACTCTACTCAATTGTGAGGAAGTGTCATCAACACGGACTTGAATGTTATCTATAAGAGCAAGGCTCTAGAACACAAAGTATCACAGTCGCAAGACTCTGACCAGAGGCCAAGAGGAAGGAGGTTTTCCACGGCATATCAGATCATGGGGAAGATCTACATCCTTCCCTCCTCTGAGTCCAGCACAGTGCCTCGAAATTTAGAAAGGTCCCCTAGTCTTGAGAGAGGAAACGATCCCTTCTCTATCACAAGGGAGGACTCCGATAGGAGCCTCAGCGGAGGGGTACTTTGCTCAGCTCACCTGGGACATGGGTTCTGGGTGTCATTCAGGAGCGGCTCATGCTGCAATGTCTCGCAAAGCAACAGAACTGAAATCCAAAGCGGTGTCTGAGTGTAAAGTTCTCTGCCTGTGGTTTCCATTAGAGAAAATGAAATCCGCCTCTCTTCAGAGGTTACTTGATGCTTACGAGGACAGACGGCTGATAAATGCACTTGGTGCAGGCTTGACCCCCACAGCACAGCAAAACACTACTGGAAAGAGGCAACGCCATCTTGAGGCATGGTTAAGACGCAAGCACACAGCCGTCATGAGACTGGACGAGAAGGTGCTATGTTCACTGCTTACGGAGCAAACCTCCCCAAGGTGGATTCTGGGCTCTCAACTTTACAATGTGCATTGCAGAAGAAGATGAAAAGTAGACTAAGTCATGTCCTGGGGAGGGATACTGCTGGGAAATAGTTTATAAGACAAATCTAAGAGAAAACACAGGAAGAAATGGGTAGTCTGATAAATGTGTAGACACCAAAAAATACTTCAAACAGAACATTCCGGAGCACTCAGAGTGAAAGATGGAATAATAGTAATAATGATAATAACAACAATGGCTAGCATTCACTGGCTTCTGACTCTGTTCCAAATACTAAGCATCTGATGCTCATCATTGTGTTGAACCTTCCCAAGATCTCCTGTTTTACAGATGAAGAAAGTAAAACCTAAGCAAGCATAGCAACTCGACTGAGGTCGCACAGCAAATCCGTGCAGAACCAGAGCCCCAACCCCTCTGTCTCCCAGGCACCGTGCCATCTTGTCTCAGCACAAAGCACAGTTAAAAGAAGCACAGAAAGGCAGTCCAGGTGAGGTCTCTATGCAACACCCTCAAACGCTTAAAAGACAAAAGAGGCCTAAAACATAAGAAAGGTAAACTCTTCAGTCAGTTGTTTGAAGCCCAGGGGTGCAATTGTGGCCTCTGGGTGGGGTCAGGGTCAGGAATCCACCCTTCAGTAAATGCTCCAGCACAGAACAATTCAGGAGAGCCGAAAAGATCTCTGAAAAAATCTCCTCCCAAAAGCAAGCAGATTAGATTGGACTGAAATGCCACAGTGAATCGGGACACCAGCGAATCCAGGCAGTGGGAAAGCCAGGGTCGCTGGGGCGTGCACGTGGTGGCCCTGGACTCCTCGCTAGCACTGCCTCTCATTTGGTGCCAGACAATTGGTTCCCATGTTCATTATAAAAAGTATTCTCAAGCTAGATGCAGTGACTCTGGCCTGTGATCCCAGCACTTTGGGAGGTTGGGGAGGGGGTATTGCTTGAGGCCAGGAGTTAGAGACCGGCCTGGGCAACACAGCCAGATCCTGTTTCTAAAAAAATATTTTAACCTTAGCTGGGCATGGTGGCACACGCCTGTGGCTGAGGCAGGAGGATCGCCTGAGCCCAGGAGGCCAAGGGGGCAACGAGCCGTGATCGCATCACCGCACTCCAGCCAGAGCGACAGAGCAAGACCCTGTCTCTAAGATAAATAAACAACACACAGCACGAATCTGCTAAGCCACAGTGCTCTTCTGCTTGGAGCTGCAACACGACTGCTGGAATTTGGAACTGCTAAGATCATCTCAACCTCAGGCCCCAGCAAACAGCATCAGGAGAAAACCAGACACCACAACTGGGTTTCTTTGCAAGAGCAACAGCTGGAAAGCCAGGCTTGGACCAACGCAGCACCAAAGGTGGGAGGAGCTACAGGTGCCACCAGCTCCTCAGGACAAGGCACTAGGCGAGGGGGGCCAGACCGCCTTTCCTCGGAGAAGACAGGCTGCCTCTTGTTTGGGTTTGGGTGTGGGGTTTGTGTTGTCTTCTTCTTTGCCTACAAACGTCGTTTTCCTGGGTGACCATCCTCTATGTCAGTTGTACAACACTAAGTGCTCATCTTTGTCCCTCTGCTCAAAATTCGAGCCCGGGGGGAGCAGTCCCCAGCCGCCGGCCTCGCCGTCTCCTCTGAGGCCACAGCTGCCTGATTCCACCCAACGGGGAAGGGGATTCCATGAGCAGTGGAGTCTGGGGAGAGAGAGGGACCTAGAAGTAAGCCCACCACGCTGCCCCCGGGCCCGGCACTGGGACTGGGGAGTGTGCCTGCCTCCTTCCAGAGGAGTCTCGTTTGTCAGGACGCAGGATGCCCCGCTGGTGGGCCCTATGAGGACCCGGAGCCCCATCGCGGCCACACAGCCGCTGCTGCATCTGATCAGCAGTGGGAGCTGAGGACACCGTGCTGGCTGACATGAGCCTGCGGTCTGCGCAGGGAGAGCCAGACCGGCCTCGCAGGGGCCCAAGAACCAAGGCAGGAAGATGGAGGGGCCAGCAGCTGAGCCAAGGACCGCAGGCCGCTCTCAGAGGTCTGTCTGCACCCTGGTGGCAAGTTGGTCCACTAGTCATCTAGAAGGGAAGCAGATGCCTGGTGACTCAGACCGCAGAGCCAGGGAGGGTCTGAAAAACTGGAAAGGGATGGACGGCGTAAGAGTTCTGAAGAGACCCAGACTTTCCAAACCTTTTATGGTAGCAGGTAGCACATCAATGACCGATTTGGGGATGATTTTACTGTAAGATCATGATATTGTAAAACATTCTGTAATATACCACAGTTGGAAATTATTGCCAAGGGAGAGAAATTTATTGGTCTTCTTTAAAGAAAGAAAGTTTGGCAATTACCTGAGTCATAACGTTGCTGTTTGGGAGAGGCCCCTGAGGACTGATCATTAAGACTGAACTCGGATACAACCACCACTGAGGAGCAAAGGTGGCCGCAGAAGACCTTAGGCCTTCTAGATAAATATTCAGCATGTTCCCAGCCGGCACAAGCCTTGCAGAGGGACTCCTCAGAACAACCTCGGAATGCCTCTCGGGGGCTGTCCTAACAGGACACTGTGCTCACAATTTTTCCGAAGTTAAATGACTTTCACTCAAAAAAAAAGAAGGAAAAACGCTGGAAAATTGAGGCCGAGGCATCTACCGAGAACGTGGGTCTGAACTCCGCCCAGGTCTTCCGGCAGAGACAGAGACCACCAGGCCTGTCAGCTCAGACCGCCAACACTCCTCCAGCTCACGCCTTCAAAGGCTGGAAATTCGCTTCTGGTGAGGCTCTTCCCACCTTGAACACTGACCGCATCTGTCCGCACAGACTTCTCAGTCAGGCCTGAGGGGCGTCCTCCGAACTGCCTCCATGTCCTCTCTGGTCTCAAGTCATGCGCCCCCTGCCTGGTTCCCCGGAGCTTCACTGCACCGAACGACATTTCTGGCCACGGGACCAGCATGCATGGTTCTCTCCACCCGGATGCCCTTCTGACTCGGGACCCCATTCCCCGACCACTCCGCACCCTCTCGGCACTCAGCGTCATGCAGCCTCGCCGGGATGGTTCCTCAGTGCCCCCACTGCTGACTCAGGTGCTCTCGTTATGTTTCCCGCACGCTCTCGCAACCAAAGCACCTGCACGACGGACTCGGATGGCTGATGGACTGGTCTCTGTTCCCACAGACTGCATCAATCGACGAATGAATCCAGGGACCACAGAGAGAGAGGAGGGACCACGAGACAGAGCCACAAGGGGACGCATTCGGTCAATACGCGTTGAGCAACAAAGGACCTCCCCTGTACCCGGCACACAGTGAACTTTCTATAGACGCTAAATGGATCAAAGTGATCAGTTAGAAGGATACAGTGATGGAAAGACAGCCCAGAAGTGCTACAGATCGAGATGTGGCCTTTCAGGGCCTCCTGTCTAACCTCTCACACCCACCCTCCTGGCTCTCGGACCCTGCTCTTCCGGGCTGGGCCTGACCCCACGGAGCTGTCCTGCCTCTTGACATTTCCACAGACACCGGGTCTTTAAATGCCTTGATGACCCCACTTCCTTCCCTGCTCATTCTGCAGCCACATTTTTAATACCCTGAACTTTTAACCCACAACTTTTCTGAAGCCCCAATCCTGCCATCTCTGCTGTCACAAACAGCCTGCTGTCACTGCCACTGAGAATACGCACCAGGATGGCATCCTACCATCATGCCGATGGGCCCCTGAGAATCCGCGGTCCGCGGTCTCCAGCCTCAGCAAGAGCCTCACGGCGCAGGCCAGTCCTCCTCTGAGTCAGCATCCTTGCCCGTCCCTCCCCACTCTCCACACGCCGTCTGCTGTCCCACTGTCCACATGCCTCTGCGGGCAGAGACGACCTTGCCTCCCATAACGTCACATAACTGAGGCGAAGACATCAGCTCCAGCCCAACAGGCCGCCCACCTCCACTGGCGGTTCCTCCTGCCCTTCTGGGCCGGAGAGGGGTCTGTCCTGCAGCCCACCCTCACCGGCGACGCCTCCCCGCCCGCGCTCTCCGCCGCCTCCCCTTCCCCTTGGCCGGACATGGCGCCGTGTCAACCTCTCCCTCTCACACCTCCAGCTCTCTCGGCTCTGCTGCTCATTCGTCTCAGCACACAACACGCGACATTTCTCTCTTCGCCCTCTCGCTTCTGCAGCCACCTGCTTGCTCTGATCTGCTTTCCCTCCTCTCCTCACCACGCCACTTGCAGCATGACTCTCCACATCTTCGCGTGTCACTCACCCCGCCGATGCCATCAAACTCTTGCAGGCCACGCACAGGGACGAAAACAAGAAGATGCCCTGGCTTGAAACCTGACTGCCGTCAGGAGGCTACGCTCTAAAACCAGCACACAACGCATCAGCTGGAAAACAGACCAACTTCCAGGCCAGCATGAGACCTGCCACAGGCAGAGGCGAGACGAGGGGCTGGTCCACAACCTGACAGCTCCCCCCTGCGAGAGAAGGCACCTCGGCCGGCGGCGTGGACTCTGTGACGCACTGCGAGGGTCCCAGGCGTGCGCGGCCAGGTGGCTCCAGGGGCTGCGCCAGCTCCCATGTCTCCCTCATCTCAAGCCCTACTTGGCATGGAGTCCTGCAGAGAGGGCCTCTCAGGTCAGGGGCTGGGGGACGAGTCCCCTGCTCAAGCTGAACTGCATGTGGTGAGCCGGAAACTTCATAGCCGGATATCAAGGGCAGCACGACATTTTCAATAATGGGAACCAAGTAATGCATTATAAAAGAAGCTGACTGTCAGGACTGAAAGAAGAAACGAAACCCTGTCACCTCCAAAAGATCCCACGAAGGTGCACAGGCTCCGTCTTTCTCAAATGTTAGGAGAGCCTTCTGCATCAAGTAAGTCGCTTTGGAGAGTTTGTTCTTCTTTATTTTATTCATTACACTTAATTCTGCAAAGGCAAACCAATATTTTACCAAAAGGGCATGCTAAAGCTATCTTTCAAATCTTTTGGAAATACCAGTTACCCCAGTTTTTGTTACCTGTGAAGCAGTCAGTGTTCCCAGATTTTTTTAACTTTTCCGAACCTTTCATAGAAATATTTTTGCCAACAGCTGGAGCCTGCAAAACTAAAGAAGAAGAAGACTGTCGTGACAACTGAGCTTGTGTCCAGGACAGGAAACATTATTTAAACACCAAGAGCCACTCTTCTGACTCTGTGTCATCATTCTGTTTAATGTAGACAGGGGACTTAAACCAAACCTCGAAATGCAGGCGAAGCATATGCAATGCCATCAAGGACATCCTCTGTCTCTGTTCCCAGACTCCATGGGCCGCTTGTCCTTCTGCATCCCTGATAACTACAGTGTTCCACATGTGCTTTGCTTATATATCTATCTGCCAGCATGGAACTGTTTAATATATAGTTTAACAATTATTATGCTATTTATCATATATATCATAAGTCTAAAGAATACTGCGGGTAGTTTCAATTTTGAGTTTGGTTTGAAATGATATCATACAGAATGTAGTCTTTTAACACTTACGGTTTCAAAATAAAAATTATGTGGCTAGGATTCACCTGCGGTGGTCATTTTCACTGTCATGTAATATTCCTTTATGTGAATATACCACAGTTTATTTACCAGTTCTCCACTAATAAGCTCTTGCATTGTTCCCAGGTTTGTGCTGTTACAGACACTGCTTTTACAAGCACTCTTCTCTCTGTCTTTGGCGTACGTGTTCAAGACTGTAACTGGGCAGACGCCTGCAAGTGACATTGCTGGGTCACGATGGAGGCTGATGCTTAAATTTATAAGATAATTTTATTGGCCACAACTTCCTTTTCTGTGATGGATTCTTTATTTCTTTTGCTTATTTTTCTATTCTATTATTTCTCTTGCCATTCATGTCCTGAAAGCTTTTTTGTATATTGTGCATGCTAATCATTAATAAACTACAGCCAGACCAAAAAGACGGCACCATGGGAAAGACTCAGCAGGTCCCTGCTGGCTCTGAAGACCGAGGGCGGTCACAAGCCAAGGCGTGCGGGCACCCAAGAGGCTGGGGAGGCCAGGAAACCTTCTTCCCGAGCCTCCGGAAGGGAGCGCAGCTCTGTCAACACGTTATTGCAGCCCAGTGAGACCCATCTCAAGCTTCTGACCTCCAGAACTGCAAGGTAATACATCTGTGTTGTTTTCCTTCCCTCTTTTTAAATTATAGAGATGTGAGGTACAAGTGAAGATAACTACCTAAATGGGCTGCATGCAGGGGAAGTTTGGGCTTCTGACTGTCTCTCACTCCCCCCGGTAGTGGACCAGATACCCTTTGTGCTATCACGTGCCCCCCCGCCCTCCTACCTCCCCACCCCCAGCAGTGTCCAGCAACCGCTGATCCCACCCTTGTACTAACGTGACTAGTGTTCAGGGCCCACCTATGAGTGAGAACAGTGGTACTGAGTTCTTCGTTTCCATGATAGTTCTCTTAGTATGATGGTGTCCAACTTCTTCCAAGTTGCTGTAAAGTCCAGGATTTTGTTCATTATAGCTGCATAATACTCCATCATGTATATGTGTGTCGAGTCCACTTTCAATGGGCAGCAGGGTAAGTTCCCATGTTTTTGCTCATGTGAGTAGTGTGGCAATAAACATGTGTGTGAGGGATTATTTTTGGTAGAGCAAATTATGTTTTTCTGGGTATATTCCCAGGACAGGGATTGCTGGATTGTATGGAAGATAAATTTTTAGTTCTTTGAGGAATCGCCATACTGCTTTCCGTAGAGGCTGAACTAGCCTGCGCTCCCATCAACAGTGTAGAAGCGCTTCCTTTTCTCCACATCCGTGCAAGCACCTGTTATTTTTTGACTTATTAATGATGGCCATCCTCACTGGAGTTAGGTAGTACTTCACTAGTTTTAACTTGCATTTCTCTGATGATTAATGAGGCTCAGCATTTTTTCATGTGTCTCTTGTCTGCTGGTATGTCATCTTTTCAGAAGTGTCTGCTCGTGTCCTTTAACCACGTTTTAATGGGGTTTGTTTTTTTTTCCTTTCACTTCGAGTTCCTTGTAGAACCTGGATGTTAGGCCCTTGTCAGATGCATAATTTGCAAATATTTTTTCCCATTCTGTGGATTGTCTCTTTACTCTCTTGGGTGATTTCTCTTGCTGTGCAAAAGCTTTTCAGTGTGATGAGTTACCACCTGACTATTTTAGCTTTCGGCATTTGTTTCTGGGAACCTGGTTAAGAATTCATTGCCTACTCCAATATGCATAAGGGTGTTTCCTATGTTTGCTTCTAGGATTCTTACAGTTTGAGGCTTTACATTTAAATCCTTGATCCATTTTGAGTTGATTTTTGTATTGGTGATAAGTAGGGGTCCAATTTTATTCTTCTGTATGTGGTTAGCCAGTTTCCCCAGCACCATTTGCTAAATATGGTCTCCTTTCCCCAATGATTGTCATTGGTAACTTTGTGGAAGATGAGCTGGTTGACAGATTCATGTTTTTACTTCCAGAATCTCTGTCCTGGTCTATGAGCCTATTCCTGCACTAATATCATGTTACTTTGGTTACTGCAGCCTTGTAATAAAGTTTAAAGTCTGGAAGCATGATACCTCCCACTTTGTTCCTTTTATGGAGGATTGTTTTGGCTATTCATGCTCTTTTTTGTTTCATATGAATTTCTGTACTGTCATTTCCAGGTCTGGTAATTTGATAAGTATTGCATTGACTCTATAGATATGCTCAGGTAGGATGCACATCTTAACAATATTGAGCATGTAACGTTCTTCCATTTTGTCGCATCTTGATATCTTTGAGCAGTGTTTTGTAGTTCTCATTGCAAAAGTCTTTCACTTTTCTGGTTAGGTGGATGCCAAGGTATTTCATTTTCTGGTGGCTATTGTGAATGGGATTGTGCTTTTTATTTGGTTCACTGCCTGCTAGTTGCTGGTATATAGAAATGCAACTGTCTTTTGCACATTGATTTTGTAACCCAAGACTTTACTAGAATCATTTATTAGTGCGAAGAGGCTTTTGACAGACTCCCTAGGGTTTTCTAGGTATGGAATCATATTATCTGCAAAGAGGGATAGCTTAACGTCATCTTTTCTTATTTGGATACCCCTGATTTCCTTCTCTTGCATGATTGCTCTGGTTAGGACTTCCAGCACCATGTTGAACAGAAGGGGTGAGAGAGGGCATCCTTGTCTTGTTCCAGTTCTTAGGGGGAATGTTTCCAGCTTCTGCCCATTGAGCAAAATGTTGGCTGTGGATTTATCGTAGATGGCTCTTACTGTTTTGAGAAATGTTACTTCTATGTCTAGGTGCTCAAGGGTTTTTATCAAGACGGGATGCTGGATTTCGTTGAATGCTTTTTCTGCATCTAATGAGATGATCATGTGGTTCTTGGTTTTACATCTGCTAATGTGCTGAATTATGGTCTTTCAAATGTTGAACCAGCCCTGCATCCCAGGAACGAAGTCCACCTGGTCATGGTGGATGATCCTTGAGATAGATATGTCGCTGGATTCGATTTGTTAGAATGTTGTTAAGAATTTGTGTGTCTATGTTCATCAAGGATATTGACTTGTAATTCTCTTTCCTTATTGGGTCTTTGCCAGGTTTGGATGTCAGTATGATGTTAGCTTCATAAAATGAGTTGGGAGAATTCTATCGTTCTCAATTGCCTGAAACACTTTCAATAAGATTGGTATCAACTCCTTGCATGTCTTGTAGAATTCAGCTGGGAAGCCATCTGGCCCAGGGCTTTTTTTGGCAGGAAGGTTTTTTCAAGGCTGATTCAATTTCCTGAATTCTTATTGGTCTGTTTAGAGTTTCAATTTCTTCTTGTTTCAACATTGGGAGGTTGTGTGATGTCAGAAAGTCCTCCATTTCTTTTAGATTTTCTACAGGTGTTCATAATCTTTTGAATTTCTTCAGGGTCAGTTGTGACTTCGTCTTTTTCATTTCTAATTGTGTTTATTTGGACTTTCTCTCTATTTCAGTCAGTCTGGCTAGGGGTTAATCTGGTTTATCCTTTCAAAGAACCAACTCTTTGTCTTGTTGATCCTTTCTACATTTTCATCTTCCATATCCTGCAACTGTGACTTTATCTTAGAGATTTGTATTTTTCTACTGAAAATGAGATTTAGATGACCATTCATTTCCAACTTCCTTAGTTGTGATGTTAGGCCATTTATTTGTGATCTTCTATTTTCTTAATGTGTGTATGTAATACTATGTATTTTCCTGTAAACACTGATTTCATGGCATCACAGCAATTCTGATAAGATGTATCTTTGTTTTCATTTGTTTCCAGAATGTTTATATTTCTGTCTTGATTTTCGTGTTGACCCAGAAGTCGCTCGGCAGCATGTTCTTTAGTAATCATGTCTTTGTGTGTTTTGGGAGGATCTTGTTGATGGTGATACTTTTATTCCACTGTGATCAGAGAAGATGCATGATATTATTTCACTCTTTTGATATTAATCAAGTACACACTTGATTAATGTCTGAGAATGTAATCAATCTTGGAGTATGTTCCATGTGCTGATAAGCAGAATGTTGGGTGGAGTGTTCCGTAAATGTCTATTAAATCCATCTGATCAAGCATCAAGCTAAGGTTCTATATCTAATTGGTTTTCTGCCTCAGTGATCTGTGTCTAGGGCTGTTAGTGGGATATTTAGGTCTCCAATTAGAATTGTGTGAATGTCAATGTCCTCTCTTAGTTTACTTAGTAGTTGTTTTCTAAAACCTGGTGCTCCTGTGTTGGGTGCATATATGTTTAAGATGTATATTTTTTGCTGGTGGGATTGAGCCCTTTCTCATTGTGTAGTGTCCTTCCATGTCCTTTTAAACTTTTGGTTTAAAGTCTGCTTCGTTTGATATCAGAATAGCTACCCCTGCTCTCTTCTGTTTTCATTTGCCTGAAAGATCATTACTAGTCTTTAACTTTGAGCCTGTGGGTGTCTTTTGCAGTGAGATAAGTCTCCTGGTGGCAACAGACTGTTGAATCATACTTTTTTACCCAATCTGCCATTCTATGCTTCTTCGGTGATACAATAAGTCCATTCATGTCCAAGTTAATTATGGAAATGTGAGAATTCATCCCTGTAATAGGGCTCTTAGGAGGTTACTTTGCTTCCTTTTACTTTTGTATTTATATATGTGTGTGTTTTCATTTTTGTGAGTGTTTCCTATGCTGTTAACTCTGTGTTTGCACTTTTGTGATGGGTATGACTGTTCTTTTTTTCCCTGTGTTCAACACCTTCTTAAGCATCTCCTGAAGGGCTGGTCTGGAGGTGGCATATTCTTTTAGGGATTGGACATCTAGAAAGGATTTTAATTCTCTGCCACTGATGAAGCTTAGCATTGCTGGACAGGAAATTCTTGACTGAAAAAAAATCACTCCCTCTTCCTTTAAGAATGCTAAAAATGGGACTCCAGTCCCTTCTGGCTTATAGTACTTCTGCACATACACCTGGAGCAATTCTGATAGGTCTTCCCTGGTAGGTGGTCTGACCTTTTTCTCTTGCTGCCTTTAGGATTTTTTCTTTCATGCTTACTTTGTGGAGGTGGATTACTATGTGTCTTGGGGATGGTCTTCTCATGTGATACCTTGCAGTGTTCTTTAAATCACTTACACTTGAATGGTCATCTCTCTAGCGAGATGTGGAAAGTTTTCTTGGATTACCTCATGGAATATTTTTCTTTTCCATGGTGTTTTCGGTTTCCCTTTCTGCTTCAAGGATACCAGTCAGGCATAGATTTGACTTCTTGACATAGTCCAGCACCTCTCAGGGATTTTGCTCCTTCTTTTTGAGCCTTGTTTCTATGTTTTTTGACAGACTAGGTTACTTCCATATTTTGTTCTTTAAGCTCTGAGATTCTCTCCTTTACCTGATTAATCCTGCTCTCTGTGTTTGTTACTGTGCTTTTAACTTCCAAGATGAAGTTGTTTATTTCCATTATTTCAGAATGGGCCTTTCAGAGATTGGCCTACTTCATTTTTACTTCCTGTACAACTTCAGTGAGTTTCACTTCTAGTTTCTCATGGTTCTCTTTATTCATTTTAGTCATCCAATCTCTGATTTCTGTGACTGCCATTTGGGACAGGTCATGGGGGGGACGTCCATTGTTTGTGCTCTGATAGCTGCTTTTGGGCACTGTCTCTTTAAGACTCTGAGGGTCATCCATTTTTTTTCTGTTAATTCTTTCTCATTGGTGACAAGCCTGTCTTCCCTCTCTTGTTTTCCTCTTCGGCTCTTTTGCTCTGAAGCTAGTCAATCACCCTCTGTTCAAGGGCCCTTCCTGTTGTTCGATATAGGACACTCAGTGAGAGCAAGGGGCACTCAATTCTGCTCTGTGTTCTACCCTGTGACCAGCCTCTCTCCCGTAATATTTCTCTCCTGCTGTTAATCTAGCTGGGCTGGTTTTCAGATCCTGTTGCAAGCACTCTGCCAAGAGTGGGTGAGGGGAATGGGCCCCCTGTCTGTTTTCTGCAGTTTGCAGCCCAGAAGCCTTCCCACCAGGAAAGCTTTTGGGAGTCTTTCATGTCACTTCCCTCCAGTTCGAGTCCATGCTCAGCACCTGAAAGAGAGCAAGTTCCCTGCCACAAAAGGACCTGTCCTGTGGGCGCACAGGGCTGGGAGTGATTCTTCCTGATCTGGTGGAGAGGTTGGTCATCAGCTTCTGTCAGTGGGCATAAGCCAAGTTAAATCTACAGTCGCGTTTTCCAAGCTTGAGAGCCAGCTGTTATTTAGGTCTTCTGCCTAAATTTTCGTAAAAAGACTATAAAGAACTACCAAAAAAAAAAAACCCTACTGAAATTTTTATTGGAATTGCATTGAATCTACAGATCAACTTAAAGAAATTATCTTTCTGATTATTGATCTTCTTATCCATAAACACAATCTCCCTCCGCTTATATCATTCTGTTTAAATATTTCTCAATAAAGTCTTATGACTTGTTGTATACATGTAGATCTGTGATTAAACTGAATCCTTTGGTACCTTACAGTTTTTATTGATATCAAAATGCTGTATTTTTAATATTTTCTAACTTCTTGTTGCTGTTGCATGTTATATGTCACATGCTATACACATTATCAAATACAGATAAGCTTGGTAGATTTTGCATTTTCTAGGTGGGCTATCATGTCATCTGGAAATAATAACAGCTTTGTTTCTCTTTCCTAATCCTTACGTCTTTATTTTTCTTATAGTTTTGCGTTGGCCAGAATCTTCTGTACATATCTGTTTTCATCTTCCTGCACTGATCAGCAATGTGCTCACTCCTGAATTAACCAGCATCTAAATTAATCTGTCTAGATTTCTATACAATGTGGTATCTGAATGTTTTACACAGAGAGCAGAGATTATAGTACACGGGGAGACCTTATTTATAAGCAGAGCTTGTTTATAAAAAATTGTGTATTTGTTCTCACATGCCAAACTTCGGTCACCTTCAAAGTACTCTCCGTTTGATGCAACACACCTCTCAAGAAGCTTCTTCCACTGCTCAAAGCAGTTTTTGAACTTGCCGCTTCTTCTGCCTCTTTGTGCTCCTGCCATTTTTCGTTTCGCCTTGTCCACACCGGACAAACACGTATTTCCCCTGGAAGACTCTTTTCACCCGAGCACGCAAGAACAGTCACCTGGCCGAGGTCGGGCGAACAGGGAAGGTGAGGCACGAGGGTCGTGCCACTTTTGACCGGAAACGACTGAACTCAGCGCAGCGTGGGCAGAGGCACTGTCATGTCGGAAGAAGCTGTTTGCCAGAACTCCGGACATTTCTTCTGTAAATCATGACACAACATTCTCGGAGCTTCCAGATAAAAAAACTTTGGTTGGCCATTTGATGCACAAGAACAAATTCCGAGTGTGCTATAAGTCTGGTTTTCTGAGCGGTCCCTCCTCGTATGCAGGAACATTTAATTATTCTGAGATTTAAAGTGGAGAAGCAATCGCTTCACAAACACTGGCCACATATTCCCACCTCGAGTAACTTGGCCTTGTCAAAATCTAACCCCAAACAGAAGAGATTTCAGACATAATGCTGCTGAGTCTTGTTTTGAAACTCAGGTAAATGTGCCATTTGTGTGCACCCTGGCATCACTGCTGGCATCTTTCCTTGATGCTTTGTCTCTTTACCTAATGAGGCCATCACCACCTGCAATCTAGACCCAGCACATCTGTCCTCTGACACTGCTGTTGGAGACATTGTTCTAAGGCTTCGGTCTTTCCAGGATTACGTATAAATGCCTTAGCCCTTCGGGGTCTCACTGCAATCGCCCTCCTGGGTTCATCTACTGTCCTTCTTCCACGCGGGATCCTCTCTCCAGGGGCTCTTGACTGCACCATGCAGCTGTCTACTCCCACCCTGCCAAGTGCTATTTTCTCTGTCCACAATGACGGCTCCCTTCTGTACCCTCTTCATAGAGATAATTTTTGCTGGCTTTCCAGTCAACTATCACCCCTTCCAGGAAGTCAACCCTGACTTTCCTGCCTGATATAGGCACTTTTGTGTGCCTGCCACATTCTGTTACACTTGTTAACCTTGACCGTTACAGTTGGCTTACTATCTAGAGCTCAAAAGCAGAGGTTGTCCTATTTATACCAAATCTATTATGGCGCCTAGATGTCAGCAGGCACTCAATAAGCATTTGCTTGATTGAAATAACAAAATACCAACCATCTACTATAGTTCAACATAATTAATTAAACTTTGTTATAAGTTTACTAACTGCTTGGATATGCAAAGCAATAATGCAAGCATTTATTGATATGTATCAAGGAAGTAAGGAAAAAAGTAATAAAATCATCTGGCAAACAGTCAACAAGAATGCAATTTACAAATTATATTGACTCTACACCGGAACTCGGCATAAAATCGATTTGCCACAGAACAGTCCCTCCTGTGAGGACTCCTACCTTGCAGGTGGTCAAGAAGCATAACGGCGACCCGGTGCTGAGCTTGGATCAGCTCAAGGTGCAAATCCATCAGGAAGCTGTTTGCTGCAAGTGGTCTGTGAGTGTCTCCATCTGTCTGGTGGGCATGCTTTGGTCCCACAGAGTTGAAGTAAAAATTTAAAACAATAGTTATCAAAACATACTGAAGGAGCTGCATCCCACTGTCACCCAAGTTACCGTTGAGTTCTGCTCACTTCTCGCCCTTGCAATTGACTGACGGGCTCATAAATATGTCTTAGCGTTTACCCATGTCCCCTTCAGGGACAAACCCAGAGATTCTTCTCCCTCCTGGTTTCCTGGGGAAGAGGGGAAAGTGCTTCTGGCCTCTGAAAGATGAGCCACCATGAGCCACGCTGCACTTACCCGCCTCCCAGGCCAGCCTCCTCCTGGTCAAGAGAAACTTCAACCCAGTGCAAGGCTCTCCGTTCTCACCTTGGCATAGCAGTGGTCAATTACAGATGATCCATTAGACAAAGCCGTTAACATGAAATTCGAATTTATTCCACCAATCGCTTTGTCAAGGAGTTCATACGCAAATAGCAACTGTTCCACAGATGTTTTCTGAAATAAAAAAGATAAAGGAAACTTAAGGGAAAATCATATGCAGCATTCCCAAGCCCTTTTTAAAGAGAATTTAAAACTAAGTAACAGAAACGTCAATAGTCAATCCAACATCAACAATGTTGTGTTTCTAACTCAATGTATTTATCTCTGACTCAATATGGAGTGCTATCAATATGGATAAAAATCATAAATAAATTTTATCTTTTCCAAGTGTAAATTAAAATTTCACAGACATACGTAACTTCCATTTATGGTTTGGAAAATTGTGATTTCACCAAATGTACAAGTAAATTTTAAAAATAGGCTCGGTGGCTCAGTCTGTAATCCCAGCACTTTGGGAGGCTGAGGTGAGTGGATGGCCTTGATGAGACCTCATCTCTACAATAAATCAAAACTTAGCCAGGTGTGGTATCGTGCGCCTGTAGTTCTGGCTACTTGGAAAACTGAGGCAGAAGGATTGCTGGAGCCCGGCAGGTCAACACTGGGGTGACTGAGAGTGCCACAGCACTTCAGCCTGGGCACCGGAGTGAGAGTCCAACTTAAAAAAAAAAATAGAGCTCATATAATTTGTCATTTTCACATACTTAACTTGAAAAATTACTGTTTATTAGCCTCTCAGGATCTCAGAGCTGGAAACTTAGTCCATCAAACCCAACAGTCCACATTGTGATTTTAAAAACTAAACACCCATTAACGTAATTACTCAAATTACAAATGCAGAGAATAACGTAAAAAGCAGCCTCCTTTGTTCACTCTTGCATATTTTCTACACTCTTCCCAAAACTGATTGAGGACATAAAGCACACGCAAACACGCATGCATATAACAGACATCCCCATGACAGCCATCTACACGCCATTCCTCTTCTCCGCCCTTAGAGGGAGCCACTGCCCCTGAACTTGGCTTGGTCACTGTTTCATGTGTTCTTCTACTGCATGTGTGTGTGTCCTTAACCACATGTGATACCGTGTTGCATGTTTTTAAATTCTCTCCTATAAATTTCTGCAGATCACTGTTGTCACTCAGCCGTGTCTGCTGAACCTCATCGATGCTGGCCTGTGTCACCCGGTGGTCAACAGTGACTGGCTGAGAGTACAGAACCCCTCTAGTGACCAGAGCAGAAGGATCTCAACACAGACTGGGGGCTCCATCCCGGGAGGCCAGCGGGAGGAAACCCAGGGAGCTGCCCAGACAGTCGTACTCCAGGGACTCAAGCTTCTGAGAGCCTGACTCCCCGAGACGACCACGCCCCTACACTGCCTGCTGGAGCAGGCGCCCCAGGGCTGCTCAACTCGGGGGCCCACATTGTGCTACAGAGCGAGAGTCCTCTCCTCCTGTGCATCCCAGATCCACGCGCAGGCCCTCCTGGGAAGACCCGCGGAAAGCCAGGGCTGGAGACAGACTGCAAGGGGACCATGGTGGGGGACGCAAGCCATCCAGCTGACCCTGGTTCGAGCCTACCAGAGGTCATCCACCCTCTCAGTCACACTGACTCGGTGCTCCTCAGAAGAGCCTGGCACCACTGATACAGCCACCCTCTGCTGACAGGCACGCAATGACTAAGCGAGCTGCAATGGACAGCACTTGCCCATGAAGAAACACAACAATGATCCTCCCCGGACTGTCCTTGCGCCTTTTTTCTGCTTTCTTTTGTCTTCATCTGTCTGAGAGGACCAGAACATGTTAGACAGAAGAATGGCTGACACCTTCGTGTGGGGACATCAGCCTAAGGGGACAGCCCTTAGACTTCTCCCACAGACGCTGCATCCACAGAGGCCTCCAAATGATGCTGCTGTTCCTAACTACTGAGAGGTGTTTCTACAGGGAGGTGTTGAGCTTTGTCCAGTGCTCCTGCTGTGTCTGTCTGGAGAGGTGGCCAGTTTCCTTTCATCTGCTAATGTGATGTTTTGCATTACAGATTTCTAATGTTCGATCACCCTCATCTTCCTGAAATTTACACTATGCCTGGCCAACCCTTTAAAAACTAGCACACATTCTTGCATTCAAAGGCCTCCCAAACATAAATGTGGGGCTGGCATATCATTAAGCCCCAATGGAAGTCATGTATATCTATGCATTTGATCAATATCTTTTATCCAAATGTCTTGGAGATGCCGTTACTCAGGACAACAGTTGCGTCCAAGCAGAGGAAAGGCTGTGTGATTAGGAAGGGGGAGGGAGGCAGTGAGCGTCATCTGCCCTAGAACAGTCTGTTTCTGAGGCTGCCAAGCGAGGCGACGGCCAGCGGCCATAGGTCTGCGTCCCAAGATTCGCTACAGAAGATGGGAAACGGTCCCTGGGGTTCTCATGTGTGCAGAAACTACACATTCTCCAATTGCAAATACTCAGATTTATTCCTACAGCTAACCATTATACATTGACAAACTTGATATTACCTGAAAATAATAATTCACGGTTTTAACTCTATTTTCTGAAATGTGTTAGAATACCTTTAATATCGAAAGAACTTCCGGGTTGCCTTTTGGAGTCTCCGGGGATTCGTCAGTCCCTTTCTTTGAAGGTGCGTCTGGAAGAGAAAGGAAGGAGGGAGGGAATGAGGGAAGGAGGGGAAGGAAGAAGAGAAGAGAAAAGCGGAAGAGCAGGAAGAAGCGAGGGGAGAAAGGAAGGCAGGGGAAGAAGAGAGGGGAAGCCGGAAGCACTCGAGGAAGGGGAGGAGGAAAGGCGGCACTGGAGGCCCAGCCGTGAGCCACACAAACACAAGGCGCTCAGCTAGCTGCTGCTTCATCGCCCACGGTCCCAGACAGGACTCACCTCTTGAGAATTTGACTAAACACCAAGTAATTTCTTCCCCCCCACAATCAGATTGCTTAATATAAGGTCATCTAAAAGCATCTTGCAATATGACAGACTAAATCAAGAATCTTGTTTACCAACAAGGCAATGTCGTGGCAAAGAGACTGGTTTTCCTATCTGTTCCATAAAGTTCATTTAGAAGCATTTGGAAAATAGCAGCATCAAAGCCTTATGGGTCTGGATAAATATCAGAGAAGGCTAGCCTGAATCAGAAGAATGTGAATTAAAAACATGTGTATGGCAACGCCAGTGTATCTTTTAAAATGTATTTAATAATCACACTAAACAATGCATTACTTAACAGAGAGTCAGTAAACATCTTGAACCAGATAGCCCTAACTAACACAGAAAAATGGCTTGTACTTTGTTTTCTGTGTCAATACAGTGATTAGAAAAGTTATAAGAATCTCCGTATCTAAATGGGACAACCCCTCACTGCACAAATACATACGTTTTCACATTTATAAATGGATGAGGCTTCCCTTTGATGAGTTCTTTAGAAATGAAACATTTTAACAAAGACTCAAAACCTGAAGCTGTATTGGCCTACATGTAATCAAGGAGTCTAAAACAATAATGTCCCAAAGCAACTAGTCAATGGAACAATAAAACTGGCTAAAAGCTACACTCTTTATAAGAAGTGATCATTGGGCCTGCTGCTTCCAGTAGTGGCTCATCTGGAAGGAAACCTTCTCCCTGCTGGAGAGAAGTTGGAAAACACATGTTTTAAATCCACAAGCTAAGAAGGCAGTGGAAGCCGAACACAGGGCTGGAGCTCAGGCAGAAGTGGGCAGAGGGCAAGCGGACGACCACACGAAGACCCTGCGACTACGTGCCGGGAGGGGGCTGCACACACACCGAGCGGGCACTCCGCTCTGCAGAGGACAGCGGCTGGGAGTGCCTCGACACCATCAGCTCCGCTGTGTCTGCCTGCGGAGGGGATCAGGCCCCGCGGATGTGAGGCTCGGTCCCACAAGCCTGACCCTACTTCTGATCGCGGCCCCAGGTTGCCAGCCACGCCTCTGACCCCTCAGCCAGGACTAGGCTTCCCTCCCCACCCCTCACTGGGGCCGACTCACTAGCTGCGTCGGCTCTCAGAACTCAGAGAAACAAGACTCCGGGTTGCGAGGAAGGACAGCGCAAAGCATCAAACGATGAGACGCGTGGGGCGAGGAGTGGGACAGGGCGGAGCTTCCGCCAACTCTCGGGCCCGCCCTCCGGGAACGTACACCCCTCAGCTACCCAGCCTCCTGTACAGTCCTCTTGGGGCTTTAGGGAGGCTTCACGGACCGGCAAGATTGCTGCATGGACAACCGTGTGGAGACTTGATCGGACAAAAAGGGTGGGCTCTAATTCTAACAGACTGAGTGGGAGCCCAGGGCTGGAGTCTGACTGTCTGTCTCCTCCAAGGCGCACGAGGAGATCTCATCCCAAGAGCAATAGGGAGAGGGGGCCTTGCAGAAGCAGAGCCCTCCTGGGTAGGCACATCCACGCACAGGCTCGTGGGCTGAGGGGACTGGCGGGACTGGCGGTTGCACACGAAGAGGAAGACAGGCCCAGCCAGAGGGGCCCCTGCGCCACCCTGGGGCTCTCCAGGCCCCGCCAGCAGGAAGGCCTCACCAGAGGCTGCCCCTCAACCATAAGAAATGAATTCCTTTTCTTCACAAATACCCAGTTTCAGGGATTCTGTCAAAAGCAACAGAAAACTGGCCACGACACCCAGAAAGACCAGGCTGGCTAGATTCCCCCTGGCCTCTCTGGGTAACATTCCTTCCTGCCGGGATGGAGGTCTTATGACCTCCTCAGACTGGATCGGTCAGAGGATTTCTTTCCAGTCAGTTGGTCCCAAGACGCAGGGCAGGGGGAGCCTGGAATATAACTGGAGTTTCTGCGGCCCACCTTGGCGAGAAAAAGGAGGCGGGAGGAGGCCAGAGAGGGAGACTGCTCGGAGGTCTGCATCTGAGGCCCGGCGTGCCTCACCTCATAGCAGAACCCGCCTCCACCTTATCACCCTGAAGCTGTGGGGAAGCTGCTTCCAGAATAAGGACAAAAGCCAGACACCCTGGCAGAAGCTCTGTATGCCACTTTGGTCACTGAGGACATAACAAGGACCACAAGAGTCACGGTGAGGCGCCATGGACAAGAATAAGTCTAGGGAGAGACGGAGACAAAGATACACGGTGCAGGCAGTTGACCAACAACACAGGGCTGAACTGCACGGGTCTACTTCTACGAGGGTTTTCTTCGGCCTCTGCCACCCTCCAGACAGCAAGACCAACTCCTCCTTCTCCTCCTCCTCCTCCTCCTCCTCCTCAGCCAATGTATGTGGAGATGACAAGGATGATGATCCGCTTCTGCTTAATGAAGAGGAAATATATCTTCTCTTCCTTGTAATATTCTTAATCACATTTCTTTCTCTAGCTTCCTTACTGCAAGAACACAATATCTAATACATATGGCATACATAGGCGTGTCCATCAACTACTGATGTCACCGGCAAGGCTTCTGGCCAACAGCTGCTGCTAGTAGCCACGTTTTGGGGGAGTCAAGAGTTATACATGGATGTAGGGTTGGTGTCCCTAAGCCCCGTGTTGATGAAAAGTCACCTGCATTTACGTACGTCCTACGTCACAGTATCACAGAGCAACACCCAGGTCTTGGAAACGGAGCCCACTGAATGCAGAACAGATTGCAGCGCCTCTCCCATGGGGCTCAGGTCACTTCTGGAGAAGGGAGCAGGGAGACGGCAACAGGGACTGCCCCCAGAGCCAGGAGGGTGAGAAGACGGGCGTGGTGTGCCAGAGCCACGTGAGCTGCCAGAGGGTCTTCGAAGAAAAGCACTTCGGCGCCAAGTGCCTCAGCTTTCCCATGGGAATGCTGGGACCCCAGCGCTCTGTGCCATCGTGCAGCTAATGAGAGCAAGTATCATCTTCTCTGGAAAAGAAAACGCTGCCCATGCCCCAAACGGTGTCTACTAAATACTTAACAATAATCATGTCCCCTGCACACTCGAAAACAACCAGAGTAGCCCACCAGTCGATGAGGTCCGTTTCCACCGAGGAGCACGACACAGTCACTGCAGGAGGAAGGAGAGGATTGGAGGACTCTCGCCCAGTCGTCTCCAGCCCACGCCAGACACAAGACGCATGAGCACCCCAACCCCACCCCCGGGACTCTGTGGGGCCTCCTGCGCCCCACAGCAGCACTGTCTCAGAACTCCAGGGCCTCACAGGGGCCTTCCTGGCCTCCGGCCTTGCCTCTCCACTCCTCACTGCCGCTCCCTGGCGAAGACCCCCATCAGCACACTGCCCTGGGACTGTCACCTTGTCGTCTGCTTCTGGGAACCCGCCCAGAACAATGCCCTGAACGCACTGATGAGTCTTTACGGCACAACAGGTGAGCCAGGCAGGCACCACAGCCCCCCTCAATGCAACTGTACCACCCACGAGGTGTTCTTGCCCAAAAGTAAGGCAGCTGGCAGGAACCGGTCTAGACAAGACGTCGTCCGAGGCTAAGCAGGCCTCCAGACAGAACCACCAGGGAGAGAAGCAACTGGCAGGTCACAAGGAGGCAAACAGCAAGCCCAGGATGTGGGATTCCCTACAGGATAATGTCTCCACTTCTTTAAAAAATGAATAGCTTAAAAAGAGAGTGGCAGGAGAGGAACTGTCTTAGAGGTGAGAGATTTAAGAGACGTATTAGGAAAAGGCACTGTGAGGGCCTTGTTTGGATCCTGATTGGAACCAACCCACTTTAAAAGACTTTTTAAATATAGCCAGGGATGTGGGGATTACTATATCACTCATTTTGCAAGGTACAATAATAATAAGGACACTGTGGTTTTGTGTGAAAAGATCCTCATCTGTCAGACAGCTGGAGGGATGGATGTGCTGCACACGTGGGATGGCGGTCGCTGGCGGGTCAAAGGGTGCGAGGCGATGCCAGCGTGAAGGCCCCCCGGGGGGGTGAGGGCTGAGTGCTTCAGGGGGGGATGAAAGAAGACCTGCCAGACGCCAGAAGTGACTGGTGCTGGGGGGCGCACACATGGGGTCTCTCCGCCAGACACAGGAAATCCGGCGTGGTCTGAGCTTTAAAAGAGACATTGAAGACAGGACATTTCGAAGATAAGGCCTCGGGCTGCTGAATGTCTCAGGTGGCCGGACCGCCCGCGTACGGTCCTCAGACCTGGCCGAGCCTCAGGTCCCTGTGGGAAGTCGATAAAGACCACTGAGGCCCAGCTGGCCACAGTCCCGGGGTCGGGGAAGTCAGTCTCCCTCTGCTGCCCAGGCTGGCGTACCGCGGCACCGTCACAGCTCGCCGCAGCCTCAGCCTCCTGGGCTAGGCGGTCCTCTCTCCTCAGCCTCCCGAGCAGCTGGACCTATGGCTGCACCACCACACTGGCTGCCTTTTCTTGGGGGGGGGGAGAGAAAGGTCTCACTATGCTGCCCAGGCTGATCTCGAGCACCTGGGCCCAAGCCATCCTCCCCTCGGCCTCCCAAAGCGCTGAGACCACAGGCGTGAGCCACTGCACCTGACCGGGCCACTGTGTCAACAGGTTCCTAGATGATGCTGACAGTGACCAGAACTGGAGAGCCCTGGCTCTGGAGGTCCACCTGCAACACGACACTCCGCACGAGGACAGCCGCGCCAAGGCAGGGGCCTCGGGAGAAAACAGCTACTTAGGACAAGTACCCCAACGCCAGTCACACTCTGCCACGGCCCACATGACTCCGCACATGTGGGCACCATGGAGCAGTCCAGAGCCTCGACACAGGCAGGACGGGGGACAGGGAGCTCAGAGCAGAGGGCCTCCGAGGAGGAAGGACAACTTCAGGAAGGAGGACAGAGACGGAAGAGAGAAAGAGGCCAACACAGGACAGGACGAGGGGACGTGTGGCACAGAGTGGAGGCTGACCAAGGCGAGCACAGAAGAGGAGGCCAGACCCGCGAGCGAGGAGAGCTGAGGAGGAGGCGGAGGTGGAAGACAGAACGACCGAGATGAACATGACCACACTGGTCCGTTCCACCAGCGTCTGCCCGGGCTCCTGACCGGCAGCAACAAGGCGGATGCTGAGGAACGCCCTTCCTGCAAGCTGCCTGCAGAGAGGAAGAGGAGGGACGACGACGAAGGAGATAGGAGGGGGGGCAGGGGCAGGAGAGGGGCAGGGAAGGGACGAGCGGGGACAGGGAGGCCGTGAGCCGGGGGAAGTCGAGAGCACTCTGTGGGCCACAGGATCGCGGAGCACAAAGCCTCAGCGTCCACTTGATGACCCGATGCGACTGCCTGTCTTTGATCATGACCATCAGTGAAGCACAGCACGGGGGCGTCCAGCCGTCTTCCACGGAGGCTCTCCCGGATTCGAAATCACCCTTCTGTTTGGATACGTCCACATTAACAATCTCGTACATTTCCGTGATGTTTTACCTAGAGATTTTCTGAATTTTCTTCCTGGGCTTCCCAAAGACTCCAGTATCTCACTTAACCGTAACGTGACCTCTGCCACCACCACGATGTCGATGTCTTCCACGTTATAGCAGTGAATGATTTCATTTATCTGCCACAGAAGATGGATCCACTAAAAAGAGAAAACACATGGCAAAATCAGTTAAAAGTACATGACATTGCAGAAAGGGCCACATTTCTCAAAATGTAGGCTCCTTGAAATCACCACCTACCGATCTCATGGAAACGTCCTGCAGGCACCCTCCTCCTGAGTGCCTTAATTAGAAATCACCTGGAGCTCAGTGATCCCGTAAACATGACAGCGAGCAGTCATTCCGCTTACCCAAAGTCATAAGAGGATTCACGAGCTGACGGTCTGCGTTGGACAGCCACAAGAGCAAGTTCACGACCTGCTGTTTCCTCTGCCAGGAACGGCACCTGCCTTCAGGGCGCTCACCCTCCCTTTGAGCAGCGAGTCTGGTCACCAGGTCGCCCTCAAGCCAGTGGGGACAGGCAGGCGTTCCAGGCTCCGCCCTCGGAGTCTGGGACATTGCTTTTCACGCCTGTGTCCCCTGAAGCTCAGGACACAAAGCCAGCCACCGCGTAGGGGCCTCAGACGACAAGACCACACTTGTACACTCAGGCTGCTGCCTACCAGAGCACGTGATGGAATCCCTCCGGGCATCCTATACGACCCATCTCGGTGGCACTGAAATGCGTGTTATTACCAAAATGTACTATCCCAAGTTTCCGGGTTACAATAGTCAAAGTCTCAACGTTCTCCCTCCATGAAATAGCCCTTTCAAAATAGTCTGAAAGTATTGCCCCAGGGGACAAGAAACTGACTCTCCTTCCTCATCTGTATCCGCTATGATTACTCTTCTTCTTGAATTGAACCAAGCGCACGTGACCTTAGACACACGCTCTTCCTCTCACTTTAATACCTGGAACACCTCTTCTCTCCCCAGAACAAACACAACAAGGGAAGAGTACGAGAACACATCACAAAAGAGGCGCACTCAGCACTACCAAGGGTGTCTTCTTACACACACGTATGCAAATGATGGCAGCTATCCAGGTGAACAAGCAGGAAGAATTCAGATTTGGAATGCGCACAGCGCCTTAAATTAGCAGCAACAACGACAACAAGATGTAAAGGACGCAAGAAAGGAATACCTTGTTAGTGCTGGTTTTCTGGGCGAGCTTTGCATAGCTGCTTCTGGACGTGTTGGCCCGCTGGATTCCCAGCTTGCATTTCTGCCACAGGAGCATGATCATGTCCACCACGATTTCTTTATCGGGCTGCACGTCCTGAAGACACGGGGGGAGAGTGAGTGAGGACGACCTGCAGGAGGCAGGTGTGCGGTGCTCACTGTGCGCCCGGGGCCCCCAGAGCTTGACGCACGCAGCCCACTCGCACCCACGCCAGCCCCTTGGGCAAGTGTGATGGCGTCGCCCGCTGTGCACATGACCCCTGAAAGCGAAGAGGTGAGGTGCCCCTCCCCCACCCAGCAGTCTCGCCCAGGGCCCAGTTTTGACCGATGCGCTGTGCTCTCCCGCCTCTCCCAGATGAAATCCCAGCACGCACGGGCAGGTGCCCAAGCCCCGTACTCCCGCCCAGCTTTGAGACTTATGCGTGCTTGTCTCTTTTCAAAACCTGTGCGTTAAACTCGTGAAGTACAGGGGAGGGGATGGGAGCCGGGAGGGAGCACAGACGGAGGGCGAGGGGAGGCCACAGAGCGTCCCACCGACGTCAGCGGGTGGCCGGTGCCTCCGTGTCCTCTCAAAGCCACCCGGCTGCTCTTCCAAAAGCTGAAGTTCCGCGTCCTTTCTCAACGAGAAAGATGACGTGTTTATGGTCAAAATATCCCAAATGCTGAGCCGCTCCCAGGAGTTCCAAGAGCGCATGTGCACAACACGCAGCGCCCAAGCACCAAGCCCAGGAACCTTCCCGGGTTCGGTGCACATTTCTCGGAGCAAACCGAAGTGCGAGGCATGTGGTTTCTAACACAGTTACGCGAAAGCCCCGCCCCTCAGCCTGGACGGTCACTTCTGGCTTACACCTCCCTCTGACACCTCCTGCAGCCACCAAGCTGCATCCTTCAAGGAGTAAGTGCGGGTCGCAGGCCGAGACCCCGCCCAGCAAGCCCCCCAGGAGGAACACTGTCACGGTGGAGCTTCCCAGCCCCTGACGGTGCTTCACTGGCCGGGCAAAGGCTGCCACAGGCCCTTTGTGACAGCAAAACCAAGGGTCCACATGAAATTCCACCAGAACCCCAATATGACAGGTAAAACTGATAACGACGAAGGCTGTTCCCAGGATCTGAAGTCAGCGCACCTAACGCACGTTCACCAGACTCGTCCCTAGAACCACGGCCTCGTTCCCTTCGTTACGAGAAATACGGCTTGCCTTGGAGCTTCCTGTAAGAAGGACACCCCAAAACGACAGCAAGCGTAACAAGAGCCTTAAAATTGCAAGTTAGAGCGTAACACAATCCTACATTCCAATTGTTAGGCAATACCAAATCTCAGCAAGGTGCCGGTCCTGTGACATTTTAAGTCTGGCCTTAAATTGGGCACAGTGACCTCCATCCACAGCATTAAAAATGACCCAAGCAGCCCTTCACCTGGGGGGAGGAGCAGACACAGTCCTTCAAGGTCGCTGCCAGGTGGGAAACATCTTCTGGACATCCAGAGGTCTTCAGACCAGTATCTAGATTCGTAAAGTAGAAGAAAATGGAACCAAAAAATCCATTACAAAATTGTAAATACAGAAAATCTAAAAAATGTCACAAACCATACGTGAGAGAGTGTCACGCCAATGAGACAAATTAAATGCTTCTATATGAAAACTAATTGAAGGAGTGACAATCCCTTTAAAACAGGATATTACTGGCTGGGCACAGTGGCTCATGCCTGTAATCCCAGCACTTCGGGACAAACAAGGCAGAAGAATCACTTGAGGCCAGGAGTTTAAGATAAGCCTGGGCAACATAGCGAGATCTCATCTCTACAAAAAAATAAAAATAAAAGTTAGCTGGGAGTGGTGGTGCACACCTATAGTCCCAGCTACTCGGGAGACCAAGGGAAGAAGATTGCTGGAGCCCAGGAGGTGGAGGCTGCAGTGAGCTATGATGGTGCTACTGCACTCCAGCCTGGGTGGCAGAGTGAGACCCTCCACTAGAAACAAAGAGGAGGGAAGGAAGGAAGGAAGGCAGGCTATTATTATCAATCTATAATATATATGCTAGCTATGTCCAAAAAGAAATTTAAGAGGCCTATAATATTAAAATGCAAATAAGATACAACAGTTAAAAGAAAAATAATAAGAGGACCTATATAGAAATCACTAGGAGAAAAATATGTATCATTACTCAGTACAAATTATTTACTGCAACTGAGAGCCATGCACTACCTTAAGAACATGATCTGACATAAAAGCCATGTAATTACAGAGTTCTTTTTTTTTTTTGGGAACTGGAGTCTCACTCCATCACCCAGACTGGAGTGCAGTGGCTGCTCCCAGCCACCACAGCCTCGACCCGCTGGGCTCCGGCGATCCTTCCGCCTCAGCCTTCCGAGTAGCCGGAATTACAGGCGCGCACTACCATCCCCGGCTAATGTTTTTGATTTCTTGTAGAGATGAGGTCTCGCCAAGCTGCCCAGGCGGGTCTCGAACCCGCGGGCTCAGGCCATCCACTCACCTCAGCCTCCCTAGCTGGTCTGAAAAGTAGAGACTCAGCTTTCCAATTACTTACACAATTCCTCTGGAGACTTGAAATAGCAGGTACTGCCTGCTAGGAAGAGAGAGGAGGCCACTGGCCCTCTCCCTGACGTGACCTGGCGGCTGCCCACAGCCTGGTCATCCCAACAGGCCAGCAGCTAAGCAGAGCCTAGGGCCTCCACCCAAGACCACCCGCAGACTAGGCTCCAGAGTCCTTCCGAGCCGGGGTCGCCACCAGCCCCCAGGCATTCCTCCTACACGTCACCCAGCACCTCCCGCCTCCACCGCCAGCACTACCCACTGCTCTTCAACAGCCAGGCCCTCGCTGCCTTGAAGCCTTGGCGCCTCCTGCCCCCTCCGCCTCGAATGTTCTCTCTCTCGCCTACTAAAGGGAACACTTTATCAGACAAAACGGTCTCAGGTTTCCAAAGAGGCAAATTAATACGCACCATGAAGAGCAATTTTTTCAGAGTAAATGTGAGCTGTCTGTCCTTCTTTGTAGTTTTCCAAGGGAAAGATCAAACCTCTGTTTCTCTTGGCGTTAATGAGTGGCTCGACGGCAATCAGAAGTGTCAAGTCCTTCTCTGCTCTCTTTGACTCTAGGTCATCCTGTCCCTGAGAGAATTAGATCCCACAAGCCAGTCAGTCACTCAATGTCATTTTAACAAAAAACAAAAACAAAAAAGGAGAAGTTTTGAATATGCTACCTGGAGAAAATAAAGAAGGTACACAGCAGAAGATTCAAATAAACTCCACTCCTCGTAGGAAAAAGCCAGTTTTGTAAACTTCACAGCAACATCCAAAGAAATGGCATTTTTTCTCTCTATCATAAGTTCCAGGAGAGACGTTTTTGGGAAATCAAGTGTTCCATTCACACCAGCATTTGACACTGGAAAGGAGAGTGAGATGCAGGGAACTGTTAGCTCAGTGTCAGCCAGGAGACCCTGCCAGGCGCCAGGAAAACAGTGGGGGGAAACGGACACCGTCTCTACCTCCCCAGAGCGTACACCCCAGTGAGAGAAGCAAGAGATCAGCATGGGCAGATGCAGGGTGCTGTGGGGACAGACAGGATGGCATCTGACACAGGACAGGGGCAGGAAGGCAATCAGGGAAGGCTGCCCAGAAGAAGGAGCACGGAACGTCAAACACAGAATCAGCGAAAGCCAGCCAAAAGCGGCTGGATGTCCCCGGGAAACTCAGGAGAGAGACCCAAGACAGCATTGAGACAGCTTTGATAAATCATCACGTATCCAGATCACATATCCAGATCCTTATGTATCTGACTCAGAACAAGGAAGACCCCACAGAAGAGAAGGGGAGGGAGAAAGGCAGACCAGGAGAATGCTGGAGAGAAAGGAGAGGTCAGCAGGGACAAACCCGCAGAGGTGAAGGGAGGGAAGGACTAGCTGGGAGCTTCTTGGGAGGCTGAGGCAGGAGGATCGCTTGAGGCCAGGAGTGCAAGTTCAGCCTGGGCAGCATAGCAAGATCCTACCTCAAAAAAAGAAGAAGAAAGGACTGAGAAGTGACCCTCGGATTAGCGACAAGGCCCTCCATGACATTCTCGGGAGAGTGCCAGGGATTACCTGATGCACAAGCAGAAGGAAAGAATTGGGAACGGTGAAGACAGACAGTTCCTCCAATACGTCTGGCTGCACCAAGGGACACATGGGGCGGGAGCTGGCAGAGGACATGGCGTAAGGGACCGTGCGCAGGGACGACACCGCTTAAAGATCAAAGAAGAGGGGGACGAGCCCCTCCGTTTTAGCAAGAGAAAGGGAACAAGGATGGATGTGGATGAGGGAAAATGCAGGGTTCTGGGAGAAGGGAGTCAAGAGAAGCCTCATCTGAGAACGTGCATTGCTGTGTGTGAAGAGAGGAGCCCAAACTGGCCCCAGAGGTTCCCTGGCTTCACTCGTGCACACACACATGTACACACACACACACGCGCGCACGCACTGAACTCACTAGAGGCACACAGGCTGAGGTTAAGGCATCCGCCTCTCCTCCCCAGCGGACATCACAGCCAGGTCAGCAGACCCAGACAACAGAGGCGAGAAAACTAAAGCAGAAACACCTTCAGAGAAAGCCACAGAGGAAGCCTCCTTGGTCACAGGGAGCAGGACACAAGAGAGTCTTCGGCACAGCACGTGTTCTCTCACAGATACAGAGAGGGCCCTAAAACACACAGCAAGAGCATGTTGTCGTGAGAGAGGCCCAAGTGCACCCAAAGTACACAGGATGTCACTGTTGAAACAGAACGTCAAGGGCCAGGCAGCACAGTTCAGCAGAGAGAGTCAAAGAACAGACCCAGTACCTGGAAAATCAGATTGAGTAAGCTTCCCAGGAGGCAGCAGAGAGGAATAAATATATGAAAAAATAAGATAAATATAAGGAAAGAAATAAAAAGGCAACATGAAAAACGAAAGCAAGATATAAGAGCTACAAGTATCTCCTGGATGCTAAAACCACCCCCAGACCCAGTACCATGAAGTGTAAGAATGCCACAGGAGTGAGAAAATTGTAAGAGACAAATCTATAAAACTATAATATTTAAACTGACATTACACTTCTCAACAGAAACACCATATACAAGACGATGGAGAAATATCATCACAATTTTAAAAGTAACAAACTTGTAAATAAGCTATTATGTCCGGCTAAATAAAGTTCTTAGAGTTAGTATTTGAGCAAAAAGAAATGAAGTTAGAAAGAAGCAATGAAACACAGAAAGAGATGACAAAGAAAGAAATCTTAATAAAGGCATTTACTGTCTTAAAAAGAAATGACCAGGCTTGGATCTAGAACATAAAAAGAATTCTGAACACTCAAGAGGAAAGCTGAACAATCCAGTTAGAAAATGGGCACGAGACATGAGAGAAAGAGCCCACTGATGGTGAATTTGCACGAGGGAGCTGCTCCCCATCTGCAGCTGCTGGGAAAACACAAACTAAGGTCGCTGTGAGATGTCGCCACACACCTACCAGGATGGCAAATGAAAAAATGGTGACAACAAAAATCTGTCATGGACGTGAAGAAAGTAGGTCTTGCCCACATTGCTGGTGGGGTGTAAGGTGGGCAGTTGCCCTGGACGGCAGCATGGCAGCCTCTTACAAAACTCAGTACAAACCCTCCACACGGTCAATGGCTGCGCTCTTGAGCATCCAGCCCAGGGAGAGGAACCTGTACTTTCACACAAAATCCTGCACTTCACTGTTCCCTGCAGCTTTATTCCTAATAGCCAAGAACTGGAAACAACTCAAACGTCCCTCCCTGAGTAAATGGCTAGCCCAACAGCGGTGCATCCTGACCATGGAACACTAGAGTGAGATGGGAACTATTAATATGCAGTGCCTGGATACATCACAAGAGAACTACGCTGAGTGAGAAAGCAGACAGCACACATACGGTCACCTCGTTTATGATAAAGGAATTCTGAAGCCAATGGGGAAAGGACATTCTCTTCAACAAGAGGCTCTGGGTCAACTGGATATCCACGTGCAAATAAATAAGTCTTGATCCCTACCTTACACCAACAAAAAGAGACCTGAAGGTCAACCTCCTGTGAGAGCTAAAGCAATGAAACTGATGGAAGAAAACATAAGAGAATACATTTATGACACTGGGGTAGTAGAAGTTTCTTAAACATGACACAAAATGGATCAGCTATAAAGGATATATTGATAAATTGGGCTGCGTTACAATAGAGAATTTCTGTTTCTCAACAAATATGATTAAGAGAATGAAAAGACAAGCTACTAAGTGGGAAAAGAGATTTGCAATACGCATATTTCATAACAGACTCGTATCCAAAATACATAAAGAATTCCCACAAATCAACAAGAAAAAGTAAGGAGCCCATAAGAAAAACGGACAAAAGATCTGACAGACACTTCACAAAATAGTATGGAAAGATGCTCAGCTCTTTATTAGTCCTCAGAGAAATGTACATAAATCTGTAATGTGACACCGCTGAATTCACACCCAAATGGACGAAGTGAAAAAGACATCATGCTAAGTGTCAGTGAGAATTTAGCAATCTGAATCCTCATAAAAGGTTAATGGGGGTGTGAATTGGGAAAACCACTTTGGAGAACAGTATCTGCTGACGCAGAACATAGGAATGCCTCATCTCTGCAATTCCACACCAAGAGAAACACACAGGGGATGCTTAACACATCTCTCTCAGGAATTCATAGAACAAGTAGACAAAAGATATTGGTAGGGACAGAAAGACCTCACCACACAATTCAACAACCTCGTCGACATTTATGCATAAAATAATGCACCCCCCAACAACAGAAACCCTAGTCCTTTCAAGTACATACAGGCTATTTACCAAAATTGAGCGTTTGTCAGGCTGTAAGATATCTTAACAAATTTCCACAATTCTACATAATATAGAGTACACTCACTGACCATAGTATAATTAACCTAGGCATCAATAACAAAAAGATCAGAAAATCTCCCACATAACCCATATATCAAAGAAGAAATTGCAATGGAAATTGCAAAATATTCTTAACCAAATAATAATGGTCTGATATATCAATACTTCAGATACATAGCTAAAAGCAAATTTAGAAATATATATAAAATATATATATAATGCAAATAGTAATAAATCCTGAAAATCAATGATCTAAGTTTTCAAGTCAGCACATTCTTAAAATCAGCAAAATAAGGGCCTGTTGCCGCAGCTCAGGCCTGTCATCCCTACATTTTAAGTGTCTGAGGCAGGAGAATTGCTTGAGTTCAGCAGTTCAGGACAAGTCTGGGCAACATAGCGAGACCTCGTCTCTACCAAATATCAAAAAATTAGCCAAGCGTGGTGGTGCATGCCTATAGTCCCAGCTCTTAGGAGGCTAAGGGGGGAGGATTGCCTGAGCCCAGCAGGTCAAGGCTAAGGTGGCCATGACCATGCCACTGCACTCCGGCCTGGGCAACAGAGTGAGACCCTATCTCCAAAAAAATAATAATAATAAACAAAACAAACCCAGGAGAGTAAAAGAAAGGAAATAACAAAAAATAGAAATTATTCATCTGGAAAACAGACATAAAATAAGGAGGTTCAACAAAGTCAAATATTGTTTCTTTGAAAAGATTAATGAAATTGGTGGCCCCCTAGAGAAATTGATGAAATAAGAAAGAAGGCAAACTGATCAATGTCAGGGGTGAAAGAGGGGACACCATGCAGGCACTGCGGGCATTAAGAAGATCATGATGAAACATTATAAACAATTTTATAAAAATGTCAAAGTACTGGGTAAAATAGCAAATTTTCACACACACACACACACAAATACAAAGTACAGCTTACCAAACTGGTAGATTATTTTTTAAAGAATGAAAAGAAAATCTGAATAATGTTATATCTATGGAGAAAATGTAATCCATAGTTTAGAATCCTTTCACACACAAAAAAATCCAGGTTCAGATGGCTTCATCAGTAAATTAACCAAATACTCAGGAAGAACCAACGCTAGTATAACACAAACTCTTCCAGAGAGTGGGGATGAGGCCATACTTCTCAACTCACTTTATGAGGCCAGCATGACCTTGAGCACAAAACCAGAAAGGGCACTACAAAAAAGGAAAATGTATCTCATGAACAGAGCAGCAGAAATTTGAAACATCAGCAAACAAATCAAGCAATGTATCGAAAGACTGATCCTTACCTTAAAATTAAGTGCATTCCAAAAATACAGGGTGGTTAAAAAATTAAACAATCAAAGTAATCACTACAATAATAGACACAAAAGAAAAAGCCATTTGATCAATTCATTAAATCCAAGAAACTTCCTTGATCTGGAAAAGGGCATCTATAAAGATCCTTCAGTAACAATATTAAATAATGGCATGTGTTGAGAGCTTCCACTGCAACCCCAATGAGACGAGGATATCTGCTGTCTCCCTCTTTCTAGATGTGAGTGGAGAGCCTTGCCAGGGCAGTTACAGGAAAGCGCAGGAAAAGAGGAATCAAAAGATTAAGAACGAAAAAGAAACGAAATGTTCATTATTCACAAGTGCCCCCAAGAATCTACTAACAAGCTATCGGAAATATCGGTCTACTTCAGCCAGGACCCCTCGGAAGCCCACCACCGTGTCGACCGCAAGCAGCGCCCTCGCGTCTCACCCATCAGGAGCTCCTTTCCCGCCAGAAACAGCTCGCCAACTACATCCCGAAGCTCCACCTCATCCGTCCCAAGCGGCCCGGTCTGCAGCGTGCGCCTGCCGGAGTCGGACAAGGCCTCCACGACTGCCAGGAAGCGGGCCGCGGCACTGTCGAACATCTCGTCCAGCAGCCGCTCCGTGGTGGTGCGCGGCCAGGAGAGCTGGAACAGAGCAGCACAGGCGACTTGCGGCGACAGCAGAGGGCAGTGGGAGGCGGCTGCTCATCGCTGCACAGGGCGGGGCGTGTTTGAGCGGCTACTCCGGGCGCTGTGCAGGTTTGTGCCACGCGGCTTCTGCATCAGCGCCCATGCCGCTCCTCTAAAGGCGTGCTTCTGCGGTGGCACGGAAAGGCTGCTGACAACCATCGTCGACTTCCGTGCCTGGGTGGCACCTCGGGTCCGGCCCTGGGGGCTGACCCCACACTTTGGCTGCCTGCGTCTCGTGAGTGTTTGCAGCATCAAGGCCGAATCTGCAGAGACTCCGAGTGTCTGGGGCACGCCCTGAGAGGCAGCACGGGGGACTCTGATGCAGAAGTTCCACGTTTGAACCGGTGTCCCACGGTGTAAGTGGCGAGGCTGAGGCACTCACCTCAAGAAGAGCCCATCCATGTGTCTTACGAGGCGGTGACCCGACCTCCAAGATCCTGGCACCTGCCTTGGTGGCCAGTGTGACCCTCCCACAGGCGGCCAGCCACCACACTTCCCTCTGACAAGCGGCCTGTTCTCTGCGTGTAGACGCCGGCAAATGAGAACCCAGCCAGGGGCTTGTCCAGAACCACATCCAGCCAGCAGAGACCACGGTGACCCTGGTTCCCTTGCTACTCGGCAGCATGAGAAAGACAGGGCCCGTGCGAGACCCTCCCAGGCTCTCTCCAGGCCCCTCGGCAGAAGGAGCTATGGTTTCGGAAGGAGGGCTGCCCAGTCGGCCCAGGCACCCTCTCCAGGGACCCGGAAGCAACAGTGCATGCAACTCCAGGACAGATAAACTGTCGTGTTCAGCCACCTGTGCCAGGTTGCTGACTGCTCCAGGCTAGCCTAGTTCCCGAACACTCCCTGGGGGGACCCTGGCTGAGCAGGGAAGGCACCCGTCCTCTCTGCAGCCCAAAGCCCGCCCAGCTCATGGGACGCAGCAGAGATGAGGCCCTGTGCCCGGCCCGTCATTCGAGCCTCTCATAGGCTCCGCTTCAACCTCTTGTCCCCTGAAGCAGGGGTCCCCAAACGTGGCCACGGGTCACTAGGAAGTGGGCGCACAGCAGGAGGTGGGTGGCAAGAGAGCCAGCAAAGCCATGGCTCGCGTGACCACCCAAGCGCCACCTGCTGTTGGACGGGCGGCGGCACCAGCTTCTCCTAGGCGGGCGCACCCCACTGTGACCTGCACGAGTGCGGGACCAAGGTTGTGGCTCCTTATGAGACCCTAACGCCTGATGACCCCCAGACACTGTCCATGGAAAAACTGTCTTCCAGGAAATCAGTCCCTGATGCCAAAAAGGTTGGGACTGCCACTTTAAAGGCACCAGCGCATGGAGAAAGAGATGGCCTGGGTCACATTCAGATTGGGGAGGCACGCTTCTCTCCATTCGCCATTGGTGCAAAGGACCAGGCAGGGTTTCGCAGTGGGTGGCCAGGCTTGAAAGATGCTGAGGATAACACAAGCACACCGCAAAAAGAATCTTGCACGGAGAAGACGCAGCGGACTTACACTTTGTGCTTCCCTCAGGTTAATTCTCATCTTCGGTCTAAAGAGAGCTTTACTCTTCCTTCTGGATTCAAAGACGCCTCTTTTGAAGATCATCACTGCCATCTGTCTCAAAAAGAAGAGTCACCCGTGAAGGAGCAACACAGTCCGGCCGCCAACACAAGGTGCTCAGAGCCTCTCGTGACATGTTTATACCTTTATTGTGGCCTCTCTATAGTGTCTCCTGTACTCTTCACACGAGTGTGAAGAACTCATCAGATCCAGCTGCCTCAGCTCATCAATTTTAGCCAACGCACGCCGAGCAAAGGCCTGTGTGCAATTAGAATAAATTCATAAGTCAGAATACAGGGATTAAAATTGTATAACGGACAAAGGTTCTGCTGACTCCTTATGACACAGGAGCTATCCAGTCCCTCACTTCCTGGGAGCATCACCAAACTCCATACATCTAAAGTTAGTAAACTTTATGGATTATGAAACTTTAAGAGATAAGAAAAGCTGAAAGACAGGTTAAATGGTAGCTTCACACAGATGATCGGTTCTATGGCACTGCATGTGCACAAATGTGTGCATCCCCCCGCCCCAGTGATCAGAAGCTCTTCTCAAATTCTAACCTCCCAGTCGTACATGCTGTGTTACCTACTAAACATTTCCTTAAAAGATATTAAGCTCCTCATCCATGTCTGTCTCCCATTACCCATCACACCCTGAGTATCTAGTAAAGATTTGAAGGTGGCAAGGAAGAAGGCAGGCTGGCTTACTTAAGCACATCACCATGACTGTAATTCTCTAGAAATAGCAAAAGAGCTCCAAAGAGTTATTAAAAGCCCAAAAGCAAGAGTGTGTGTCACTGATGTCACCTTTTGCTGAAATGTTTCATGTATAATGTATGATTTTTAATGAAGATGCCACTAGACCGACCATATTTCCAATAAGGAAGAATCCCAAGTGGTCAGAATTACATACAGGTTCCGTTCCCTGGCGATTTTAATAGCTACAGAACAAGTTAGGCCACCACTAGAGCATCTGTGAGCCATCTCTAGAATGTGTCCTGACCACAAAAGTGTCCCGAGGGCTGAATGAGCCACTCCTCCACCATGGACCACAGCTGTCCAACACCTTGGAATCAGCACAAGCAGGAAAGTACCCGTGAGCTGGACAGCTGATTTGCTGATGGATGCCAACAGGATATGAACAGGAGTCTGTGCAGCTATGAAGGCTGTCCTCGCTGCACACAAGACTCTAGCCTGGGCTGGGGAGCACCAAGGTCACTCCCCCAGCCACACCTGGCACCGGCCTGTGCTGGCCTAAGGAAGGCGACTGGGTTGATTCTCCCCAAGGCTGCACCCCCAGCCACGCCAGGAACCTGGACTTGGAGAGGGCGCCCCTCCGTCTACACAGACCAACGGAGGCCCAGGCGGTTAAGTTTCAGGTATGCGGTCCTAAAGGTGTCAGAGAGAAGAAAGGACAGGAGGTGTGAAAAGGCTCAAGTGGTGGGTAGAGAGACAGGCGTGCGGCGAGGGAGGATGCTGAGCCACATGGGAAGGGGGCGGCTTGGATGCAGGAGCCCACGAGGGCGGCAGGGCAAAAGAGCGTTCCCGAGTTCCACTGCACCGCACAGTGACCACAGTCAGGAGTCATGTGTTGTGTGTGTCACAGTCTCTAAAGGGCAGCTGTCAAGTGTTCTTGCTACAAGAACCTGGTAAGGATTGGAGGTGGAGGATACACCATATCCCGTAGGTACGGACAACTGCTATCCACCCACCAAAAATAAACGTTTTAATGGGAAAGGTCCTAGAAGCCCTACTCAGAAGGGGAGTCAAGAGGGCGGGGCCAGTAGAGCACAAAGAGAAGGCCGAGAGGCCCGCAGGAGACCAGTAGGGAACCACAGGCGCATCAGCAGACCAGGCCTGAATTTCCGGCCCGTCTCTCCTTGCAGGCAGGACGAACACGAGGAAGAGCTGCTTGTTAGCCTGGAGTCCTCGGGACCGAGAAGCTGCGTACCTCCCCGTGGATGCCAGCTTGGCAGTCGTAGTAGCACTGGCAGACCGCCACGTAGAGGGTGGCCCGCCATGCCAGGTGCCTGAGCGCCAACAGCGGGACGGAGGACTCCATGCACATGCTGGCCCACAGCACGTACTCCAGAGCCTGCAGAAAAGGGCACAGAGAGGTCCTGTCATCCCAGGCGAATCGCAGCGGCTGTGTTCAGCATGACGTCTGTTTGTTTTGTAGCAGCAGGGTCTCACCCTGTCACCCAGGCTAGAGTGCAGTGGTACGACTGGGTGTCGCTTTATGTATGGACTGATTGCTTGACGGAGTTGGGGACTCGATCTGTCACCCAGGTCGGAGTGCAGTGGCATGATCATGACTCCCTGCAGCCTCCACCTCCTGGACTCAGGCGATCCTCCCTCCTCAGGCTCCCAAGTAGCTGGGATTCCAGGTATGTACCACCACACCTGGCTAGTTATTTTTATTTTGTGTAGAGATGGGGCCTCACTATGCTGTCTAGGCTGGAGTGCAGCAGTGCGATCACAGCTCACATTCTGCGGCACCTGGCCTATTTGACATAATTAAGTTCTGAGCACAAGTTGCTGGCTCCCTAAACCAAATCCCATAAACGACAAGCCCAGAAAAAAGACGAGCATTTACAGAGTGAAAGAATAATTCCGAGAACTCAAGACTGCCTTCTTAGAACGCCTGCCCTCACTCCTGAGGTTGTTCGCCATCTTCATGGCGTTCATCAAGCATCCAGGGCGGAACCTGATGCCAACAGCACAGCTGCTGCCAACAGGCCGGGTCCAGCATGCCCTTCTGAAAGCAGCTGGTGTGGGAGGCAGGGACGGCGGCGGAGGCCGACCAGGTGCGTCCCCAGGCCTGGCCCCGGCCCGGCTCCACCCCCACCAGCTGCACCATCGGGCCGCATCAGACCTCGGGCTCCTTGTCAGTAAGATGAGTCTTGTCTCACACCACCACAGCGCCGTCACGGGAACCAGACACGTGTGCACGCCATCCGTGGGGCCCATCACCAGCGCCATCCCTCCCAAGGGCCACTTGAAACAAAAGCAGGAGGAGGAGCCCTCTCCCACGGTCCGGCTGGGGGAGTACAGGCCAGCCCCGCTGTTCCAGCCGAACGACTCTTCCCACAGACCCACGGGGAAGTGTTTTCTGACGTATGCTTCCCAAACCCTGTCCCAGGACACAGCACATTTGGCTGTAGGTATCCCGGGTAGTTGAATGGCATTGCCTTTCCCTGGATTCAGGATAAGTAGTGGAAACGAGGCCTGTGCTCCATCTATGACTATAAGAGACACCCCGGGGTAAGAATCAGAATCTGGGAGCTGAGCATCTCAGAAGTCACACTCCAAACTCAGTCCGTGGAAAATCAGCCTCAGCCAAGGCGGCCTCACGGGCCTCCTGGCCAAGGGACACCTCCTCACATGTCTCCTGGGCCGTGGGACACCTCCTCACTTCACGTGCCTCCTGGCTGTTGGACACCTCCTCATGTCTCCGGGGCCACTGGACACCTCCTCGCGTGTCTCCTGGCCATCGAACACCTCCTCACACTGGCATCTCCTGAGCCAGACCCCGCCATCGCGTCCCCCTGCTCTCGATCTCACATCGACACTGACAGCTGCTCCAGAAGACTCCACCGCACAGGAAGCCTGCTGGTCCCAGCCCACAGGACTCTGCTCCCCCTGCCGTCCCCCCAGCCTGTGAGACCAGCTGGAACACCCCCTCCACGACCAGCAGGTGCGCTTGACAGCACACTTCCACTCCGGGCCTCATGCTCTTGGGCGCAAGTCAGGGTCGCAGAAGCACCTTCCAGGAACATTTGAGGATTCAGTAATTGCGTGTTCGAGGTGTAGAACAGTGACTGGCACGTAGTGAGTGTTGGCTTTGGTGATGAGAGTGAAGAGAAAGAAGGAAGGGGAGGAGGAGAAGAGAACTGGACGTTGACTTTCCACAAGTCCCTAGAGAGCAGGGGGCTTGGTCTCACCTCCATCTCTGCAATCGTGTTTTGTGTGTGTTCCCATTACCCACAGATACTCTGTATCCACAGACACCATTTGTCACATCCAGCTGCAATAACATTCTCACACGTGTGACAGCAAAACAGCACCGTGACATCTGCCTCGTGTTCGTATCACCAGCACCAAGGACAGTGCCATCGCGGCAGACACCCCCTTCACTCAAGGACTTCCGCAGACAGCCCTCCAGTTGGCAGAACCAGCCCCAGGAGAGCTCGCAAGCATTCCAGAGCCTCCAAGAATAACAAAAGATTCAGACAACAGAGCAAAGCCCCCCCTCCTATGACAACTTAGTCCTTGGGTAAACGAGGACACCACCAAGGAAAGAAACAGACCTGCTTGAAAAGGCAGATCAAACACACCCAGCTTCGCATATAGGAACCAAAGGAGATTAACGGCACTTCTCAGTCAAAACAGGCAGGGTACGAGTGCCATCCAGATGTCCCCTGTCTGGAGCCTCCACGGCAGCGCCCCTGAGACGGGCGCGACAGCCCTGCACAAGTCCAAGAGGAAGGAGAGGCACAATGGCCAGGCGCCCACTGTCCAGGCAGTCCTGGTGCAGAGGGGAAGACTGCTGGAGGCAGACCCGGGCTGGACGGGGCTGTGACAAGCTCACCCAGGGCAGCGCCATCCCTCGCAAAGGGACTCCGTGTTGCTCCCAAGGTGTCCCAGCACCTAGCACTTCCTCTGGCATAGAGCAGACGTGCAACAAATATTTGTTGACTGGCCTTCATAGAAAGACTGGTCTTCTCTGGGCCGGGCACAGTGGCTCACGCCTATAATCCCAGCACTCTGGGAGGCCGAGGCGGGAGGATCACTTGAGCCCAGGAGTTCAGGACCAGCTAGGGCAACATAGCAAGATCCCGTCTCTACAAAAAAAAAAAAATTAGCTGACGTGGTGACATGTGCCTGTAGTCCCAGCTACTCGGGAGGCTGAGGCAAGAGGATCACTTGAGTCCAGGAGTTTGAGACTGCAGTAAGCCACAATTATGCTACTGTACTCCAGCCTGTGACCAAAAAAACAAAAACAAAAAAACTCCCAGTTTATGGTGCTAAATATGGAAATATTTCAAGCAATCACACAATCCAGGGGCTGAAAGGCCGTCCAAATTCCATCGCCCCACCACCGTCACCGGAGCCCACCACATCCCTCTCCAAGAGCTTCCACCTCCAGCAGCAAGGAACGCACCGTGCACGGAAGACAACGCTAACCACGGCAGACACTCCACCATCTGAAACACAGCCCACTCTGGTACCTTGGGTCGGCGGCCCTCTTTTCACCTTCTGGAGCAGCAGCATGGCCCAAGGTTCAACTCCACACTGCCGCCTCAAGAGAGACTGGGGCACCCATGAGCCGGCCCCTTCCTCGCTCCCTCCAGGCTCACACCCCAAGTCCCCCGTCCCCCACGGGACTGCACGGCCCTCCTCCAGCGTGGCTGGGCCCTGTGGGTTTGCCCAGGTCGCCACACCCCTGAAGCATATGACCAGAGGACCACGGAATGGAGGGCACAGGACCCTGGGCCTCGCCACGTCGGCCTGGGATGAGTCCTTGTGTTTCTGGTGTCTGCCGACCCGACCTCACTGAGAGCCAAGGCGGCATTCACATCCACCCGCCTCCTGGGTTTTCCTCCAGTCAGCGACCCCTGACAATCCCTACTTGGGGCTTTGCGTTTGGATGCTTGTAGGCTGGGCTGCTCAGAATGAACCCATGCATAAATTCCCCTTTCCAAAATCCCTCAGGACTCCTGCTGTGAGAAAGTTCGAGGTTCAAAATAAAAGTGGCTTCAGCTAACAGCTGTTCACGTTATGCTGGGGTCTGTCTCCAGAGCCCAGTGGAAGACAGTCACAGCTTCTCAGGCCAGAGGGACCTTACCTTACCCGTGGCCTGCCCGACTTCGGGAAGCTGAGCTCCTTCTGAGAACACAGCGGGGCTGCGGTGCGGGTCTCTGAGCCCACGCCCACTCCTCCCCTACACAGAGCAGCCTGGACCTCGGCTGGGGTGGAGGGCCCGAGTGGCGGGGGATCGCAGGAAACTACTTCGGCCCCGAAAAACACAGGTTTAAACACAGAAGGCCACTTGCACAAAAGGACTCCATTGCTGCACTCTTCCTTACTCTTAACAACTAGGAATAGCTGTATTCATTTTTAAAAACTCTGTGATACAGCAGGACTAGATTCTTCAAAGGAAAAGAAAGCCTCTGAACCACCTGGTGATCTCTGCGCCCGAAATCTCAGGCCAGCCGGGCCGTTCGGGTGCGGGTGCAGCTCGCAGCTCAGCCACGGGGTGGCACCAGAGGCCCGTCTACACTGGCCGTGCCGTCCTAGGGTCCCGCGTTTATGTCGCAGGACATAGGTTAAAATGCTCTCAGTGTCCAAGCCACACGTTTACCAAAGGATGTGGGTTTTCTGGCAAAATGAAGCAGAGAGCGATCGTCTCCTGGGTGTGTTCGTTCACGGCTGCCAAGGATTCCATCTGCAGTTGTGCATCTCGCAAGAAACAGGAGTGTTCCCTACCAGCGACAACTGTCCAGCGTCTTTGGGGAAGGAGGCCAGAGGCCCGGCCTTCCTGTTCTGCACCCATGCGGGTAACTAGCCCCAGCCTGCATGGTGCCAGCTGGGGAAGGGCCCAGTGCGCCCTGGTCTCCGGGTCCCTCCAGGAATACAGGGTCAGATCAGAAGACACCAGCCCCTCCCGACAGCTCCCCACCAAAGCAGGGGAGTCGTTGGGAGTCCCTCCTCGACAGGCCCGCTGGCTCCCGAGCATCGAGTGCCAGCGCACAGGCTTGGCTCTGGCCTGGCACTCCTGTGGCTGAAGGCACGGCCTTGGCAGGGCGCCTTCTCAGCCTCGGCCTCCTTCCCCACGGTGGAGTCCACAGCAGCTCTCTTGGGTGTGGGTGTGAGGCGTGAGGGTTCCCTGAGCCAGCGCGAGGACGAGCCCACCCGACGGTGCCAGAGACGGCAATGCCCTGCCCGCCTCACGGGCCTGCCCATGCACACAGCACACAGGACAGGTCTGACGGGAGTTGCCCTGGGCATAGTCATGCCTGGGCCCCTCGTGAATGAGAGCTCGGGCTGGTCTGGGCAAAGCCAAGGGCCCGGTGACCCAGCTCTGCATCCCCTCTGGCTCCTGCTGTGACGGCCCAGAACTCAAGAGCCCTGGAGGCCCAGGCACGGAAGGCTGCGAGAGCTCGCTTCCATCAAATGAGCTCTCCAAGCCCAGTCTCAGCCTCGGCCCAGGAATCAGCTTTGCCAGCAGGGCTGGGGAGCTTCTGCGTGAAAAGTCTTAATCTTCCTGAAATGTATTACACTGAACAAGCCGGAGGAGCTCCATCCCGACCTTCGGGCGCCAACCGCCCAGCCACCGCCAGCCCAGGGGTCCTGAGTTCTCAACCCCCAAGCCTGGGACCACAGACCAGCCTCCTCACGCCTTGTTTTGCCAGAGACAAACTTGAGTTACCCGGAGAAGAAAGGTATTCTCACACAGGTTGTAAGAATTCTTTCAACACGACCATCGCCTCAGGTTAAAATGCTCTCAGTGTAAACAAGCCCAGATACCAACAGTGTAAAGCCAGCACAGACAGCGCTGCACTCGGGAGCCCTGGCAGCAAACACTACAGCAGACCAGCACAGCCGCACCCTGAAGCCGGGCCTGGGTGACACCCAGCGTGGCAGAGTGTGCAAGTTCCCTTCAGCAGGACATCTGGGCTTGCACGTCGAGTCAGGACCATCTGTAGGTCAAGTTCACATGACACACGGGAGAGTCGGAGAAGCCAGCAGAAGTGTCAGCCATGGCCTCAAGCAGGTAGGAACCCCATTATCACACGCCGCCTGCCTGCATCTCGTGCCTGGGATGCACAGCTTACCCAACCTGCACACAGCCCCGGATCCAGGGCACCGCTCTGAGATAAAGCCCAGGCCCCATGGCAGAATGCAAGCAGAGTCACCTCGGATCATCACCCAAACCAGGACACGTTTGAGAGCAAGGGGCCTGGCTAGCAATCACGCCAGGACAGCAGGTCGAGCCAGGACGGCGCTGGGCCAGCCTCACGGACGGTCACCCTAGGACAGAGTTAGATGCTGGTCCCTCCAGAGCTCGCGTTGAGCCACAGTCCCAGGGCCGGAGGTGGGCCTGGTGACAGGTGCTTGGGTCCCTGGGCAGGTGCCGTCATCAAATAGCCAGTGAGTTCCCACTCTGTCGCTGTCCGTGTGCCCTACCCCTCCTCCTCCTCTTGCTTCTGCTCTCTCCTGGGACATACCTGTGCCCTGGCCGCCCGCCACCTCAAGTTCAAGTTTTTCGAGGCCGAGCAGGTGCCAGAGCCGCTGAGCTCTCTTCCTCATAAACCCTCAGCCCCAGCTGCCCCTTACAGCAGCGTAAAACCACAGATGCCCCCTACCTGGAGATGGTCCCCAGATGTACGCTCATACCAAGGGTGACAGTGCAGCTGCCTGAAAGAAGGAACAGCAGGCGACACCCGCCCATCTAGGATCTCTCTTTCTTTCCATTAATAGCTTATTGTCCACACAATCACTATTTTTTACACACGATCACTATTAAAATAAAACTAAAAATAAAGCCAGGTAACATCTACACACTGAATTTTACCTGGTGTAATTCATGGAACATTCTGTTTATCATTCAGTGTCCTGTGCAACGAAGGCCCTAACAAGAGCTGGGAAACACAGGGCGACATTTCACGAGTACGTTTCGTACCTTGGAAGACTGACCTCTGGCCATGAGTTTTCTGCAGATGGTGTAAATGTGAACGGTACCTGCATGGAGAAAAGAGCGTGAGCAGCTGCAGTCAGTGGTGAGGCTTCTAGTCCAGGCTCCGGGTTTAAGTCTGTCACTACCAAAACTAGGGACCCCGTGAGAAAGTTCAAGAAAGTCACAATCAGCATAACATCTAACTTGCAGACAAAAGTCATTAAAATACCTATTATGGGCCGGGCTCAGTGGCTCAGCCTGTAATCCTAGCACTTTGGGTGGCTGAAGCGAGTGGATTGCCTGAACCCGCGGGTTCAAGACCAGCTCAGGTAACTTGGTGAGACCTTGTCTCTACAATAAATTTTTTTTTAAAAAATTAGTTGGGCATGGTAGCACGTGCCTGTAGTTCCAGCTACTTGGAAGGCAGAGGCAGAAGACTCACCAGAGCCCAGCAGGTCGAGGCTGTGGTGGCCGTGAATGTGCCACTGCACTCCAGGCTGGGCGGCGGAGTGAGACTCCAACTCAAAAAATAAAAATAAAACAATTGTGGCCATGCTTTCAATATGTCAACACAGGAATCTCTGAGTCTCATCTTAAAGACAATTTAAGTTTGAAACATGCTGAACAAAAGCATGAATTCAGTGGCACAACTGATGCCCCCTGTGGTTTTATTAATTCATATAAAATACTATTAGTTCCCATGGTCTTCTTGTGGTCAGAATACGAAAGAGTTATCTCCAGATAAGATGGGAATACATCTTTATTCAGCATGGCACAATCCTCAGGGGAAAAAAAACAAAAACCTCATAATTGCATAACAGATCCCAGGACATCGCTTTGCAGGCTTACTTACCCCACTGTGAAGTTGTGCCTTACACACACTCTAGCGAAAACCAGCACTTCCACACCTATGGAAGGTCACATTGCCCAAGCATGCTTCTGTGTCCGGCCATTAATGGAGGACGGGGAGGGGTGAGGACACACCACCACACCGTACTCTGTACACAAAGGACCTTATCAAGCTGTAAACATACCCGAAAGACGGTGACAAGGAGGCATGTGACTCTAATGAGAGGTGGTCTAAATATTTTCCACAAAATCTCTGATCTAATATGCCTAACCATAAGACAGTTACGGATCCTAAGCTGTTTAAACTGTAAAAGTTTCCAAGAAAACAGCATCTGCACTAAGCCTCTCTCCCTTGATTAAAACACAACTGTAAGCAGAATAAACAGGAGTGACACAAACCAGTAACCAAAAACTATCAGATACAATTTAAACAGGAGTTTCTAGCACCATCACCTTCGCAGAGGACGCGGTGGGCCCTCACAGCGGGGACGCATGGTGCCGCACAGCTGCCAGGATGTGGTGCTGTTCACCCACTTGGACCCGCTGGCGAAAAGCCACTCAATCGGGGCAGCTCCTGCCCAGCAGACACAACTCAGCCCGGCTTTGCTGACCTCTGCTCTTAATCTTTACAAATAAAACTGCATAACTACTTCTTTGTAGGAAGAGTCCCCCAGGGAGGCCACAGAACACGTGGGGCGGGTGCAAGCCAGGAGCCAGGACAAACATGCCAGGACAGGAGAGCGGCCTGAGGGCCTCCGGAGCCGGCATTGAGGGTGACAACGGCCTCCGTGTTCCCAAAGGTGCCTTTCCCGCTCTGGTCCGTGTGTCTGACCACGGCCCCGTCCTCTGACGGCTCAGGATTTTGGCAGGGCACACGAGTTTCCCCTGCAGAAGCCAGGCTGAGCATGAACCGTGTGGGGAGGAACACGGGCTCAAGCCTCATAATCTCAGGACATTTCTGGACATTTGTCTCGCTTTGAACCAAATCCCTGATACGAGTTTATTGACTGGTCACATGACTCCTTTTCATCAAAGACGGTCACTGAGCCCGGCACAGTGGTTCATGCCTGCAATGCCAGTGCTTTGGGAGGCCAAGACAGGAAGGTTGCTTGAGCCCAGGAGATCAAGATCAGCCTGGGCAACATAGCAAGACTGCGTCTCAAAATAATAAAAATAAAAATGAGAAAGACGGCCACCATCAAAATAATCCCTTGAAGGATCTAAATGAGGTGGGTTCAGGCTAGCTGAGAAGTAAGGTATGACCCAGTATCCACACACCTACTTAGATTTCATAAAAGAACCAAGATTGGTTCAATGCCTTGGGAACAAGGTGTGTATGTGAGATAGGCCACTGAAAGTAAACAGGGCGTCTCACCGAAAGGTCAAATGTATCTTGATAAGTCCATTTGACCTTTCAAACAAGTGTATTTCTGACTACGTAAATTCCAAGTTGTCAAAACCTCAGGGTCTTTGCACTCACTACCCTCCCAGGTGGAAAGCCCTTCCCCTCATGCCATGGACTCCCAGGGTTCAACTGTCCTCTCACAGCCTGCCCCACCCTCCCTGCCCCTGGCCTGTACTCCCCACGGAGCTCATCACCACGGAAGCCATCTGGTTTTGGGTCCTCATCCCTAAAGTAGGAGCAGGCATGAGAACAGGGTTTCTGTCTGCTGTCCACTCTGTGTCCCTAACACCCAGAGCCATGCTGGGCACATCGTGGGCATTCAGTAAGTTGCAGGCGAATAAGTTAAATAGGGACAGTAGTCAGTGGAACTAACTGACCGCAACCTGGCAATTTCACTCCTGGGCACAGATCCCGGAAAACGCTCGCATGGGCCCATAAAAGGAGATGTGCAGAGATGCTCATTGCAGGATGCTCTGTGCCATTAGGGAGGCAGGGTGAGCCGGGAGCCATCCCGAGGGCTGTAGGGAGATCTGGCATGCCACCCAGCAGGCAGAGTCAGCAGGCTGGATTCGCATGCAGGAACTTGGTGAGATTCTAAAACCACAGTATTCCTTGGGAAATACATCAGGAAACAATAAGATCCACAGCACTATGTCTTGTGTATTTAAAATTCTAAAGGCACACACTCAGAAAAGGATATCATAGATACAGAAACAGTTTGAATAGACTATGGGGCGGATTGCGATCTTAAGAGGGATAAGGACAGGGACTCACGCGGCTACCCCAAGCAAGGCCTGACCCCAGGCCTGGCTCTTGGGTGTGTCACTACCTCTTGCCCACAGAACTGCTGCCCCTGCTAAGACACAGGAGTCACTCAGCGAAGAGGTGGCTGTGGCCACCAGGGAACTTGGACTCTCTTGAGGATGACCAGGCACAAAAGCTCAGCTATCGCTGGATTGAAAAAACTTCGGCAAAGCTGGCCTCATCTCTGGGAGCAAATTTAAAATCTAACTTCAATCAAAATGTCAGAGCACAATTTGGGGCGGGTGAGAGAGGAAACGGCTGGAAAACAAGACTTCCAGTTGCCATGGAGTGGGAAATCAAGGCACTTCCCTTGAAGTCATCAGGCCCTGGTTGTATGCAGGTCAAACACCCTGTTGTGACTATCTCCCTTGAGAGACTATAGTATCTAGACAGCCCTGCCGTAGGCAACACACTGTTACTTTAAAACAGAGAAAAGCACATTACCTGTTTATAGCTAGGATTCATTTGTGTAGACACACAATGTAAGATGTGTGTGTGTTCTTCAGAGCTCCTCACTCAAGGACAAAGAGGAGGAGAGGGCTGCCCTATAGGAGAAGGTCTCCCACAGTGGGGGAGGAGGGACCAGTAGACGGGCAATGTGCAGATCGGCCTAATGCGCAAGGAGCCCTTCGACCTTTCTCGTCTACGTGTTGACGGCGGCCCTGCTTTCTGCACACCCGAAAGCAATTATTCCCACAGCGTCCAGCCCTTTCCTCAAAACCCAAAGCTACGCTTCATCAATCCCTACTTATAAACTACAAACCAAACTGTAACACACACGTAAAACAAGGTGGGTCTACTTCAAACCACAAGGCAACCAGGCTACCGCCAACCAAGGCTCTGAATTAACGCTCTAAAGACAACAGAAGTAAGTGACAGTAGTCTTCACCATTGAACACGATCCAGCACAGGTGCTCCTGGGGTAGGGCCGCCTGCAGGATGAGCCGCAGGGAGGACAGGACGTGCAGACACCGTGTCACAGACTCCTCATTCCGCAGGCTGGCGTCACCGTCGCAGACCAGCTGGTAGGTGCACATGTTTTTGCCACTCAGAGCATGAAACTGAAACACATGGGAAAGTATAAACAAGAACATACGTGAGGGCCACGCAGCTTAGGAGGGCATTTCGCACAATGAAGACAGCTGTGCTTAATGGAGGTCTTAGATTGGTCCAGAAAGAGGCAGGGTGTGGCAGCTTCTTCAAAGCAGCCACGGGGTTCAGGCCAGCCCTCTTTAGTCAAAGAAACTCAAGAGCAAAAGAGAGAACGAAAACCCCATGACCAAGAATACAGAACTGAGAGATTTTTGTAAGCTCACTCGGTGGCATTTGAAGCTACTCATTGATTCAGATGTCGTTATCGTCATTTGCATAAACATTTCCTGAGTACCTCCACGTGCATGTGCACCACCATGGGTGCACTAATAACAACAAATGTTAGTTAGGACAGCAATGCGCCAGCCCGCATGGCCCAGAATGCTCATTCGGGCACCCATAGTTCAGCCGAGCTGAACCTTTCAGTGGTTCCCCCACGCGTGCCTCAAACTCTTCTGCTTATAAACCGCATGCCGTTCCAAGGCTTTGAATGGTCATCAGGTTTGGGATAACAAAGATTTGGGGTAAGACTGGTTGGGATTCAGACACCAGCCTTGTGTTGCTTTAAGTGGGCTGATTTCTTCATCTCAAGTAAGCTTCTGGTTCCTGGTCTGTAAGCAGCGCCTCTTGGGACTCAGTGCAAAAGGATGGTTTCCACAACAAACATGGCTGCCTAGCCCAGGGGAACTGCCCGACCAGCGGCGGGGTGGCACAGTTGCATAGTAGTCCTGGCACCGCAGACGTAAAGGATCTCATTTTGTATCAAAAGGTCTATGTATAATCTCAAGACCCACTTTTCTACACTAACAGTGTGATAAGCTTTATTCCTCTCTCCTGTAAAACAGGAATAATAATAGCACCGAACTCAGGTATTGTAAGGATCAAATATGCTCTCCAGAGCCCTTTGTGAACAAAACGCACTCTACACATATCAGTTATTGCAATAGCAATACCTGCCTGCTAGGGGAAGGAGGGGTCATGGTGCCCCAACCTCCACTGCCTCTTGACAAAGCCCAATGAGTTCACGCTGTCACCCAGCACCGAGAGTAGTGATTCAGCAACTCAGCACGTGGCAAGCAAGGGACACATAGATGCTGCCCCGAAGGACAACCTGCCGAGCTCATCACGAGTGCAGCGAGCCCAGCTGCTTGGGTCATCCTACCGTGAGGCCGGCAGCTTTATCTCCAAGGCCTTTTGGGAAGAAGACCGCCTTGAACTGATTCACGTCTGCTTTATTCTCATCAAAATCAGGGTTGAACTGCTGAAGATACCGCCCATAGCACTGCAGAAGGGCCAGCTTGTATTCCTGGAATAAAGAGAGAACTTCATTCAAGTTGCAAAATGCCATTTACTTGTCAGTCTTGACACTGAGTAATAGTCATATATTTCCTTGGAGTGTCAACACTGAGCACAATGATTACTACTGTTACCACCACCGGCATTTTCTAAGGACACAGCACAGGACAGACGCTGTGCCACATGGTGCATGTACAGCCAGGTCCCTTCCCAACAAGCCCATGTGAGATGGGGACCACCGTGACCACAAAGGTGCCAACACTCACTGTGGTGCTGGGTGTGGTAATTCCTACATACACCTAAAATCCGGGTCCAAAAGTCACCATCCCCAGACCACCATACCCACATACTTGGTCAGACAGATGGAGAGGATTCTTGCTCCTCTGATACCTCCTAGGCTCAAAACAAAGAAGGAAGGGAGGGAGGGACAGAGATGACAGGGCCCTGGAACACAGGAACAGAGGTGACAGGACCCTAGAACCCAGGAACAGAGATGATGGGGCCCAGTGACACAGAGCCCTGGAACTTGGGAACAGAGACGAAGGGGCCTGGGAACCAAGGTGAGAGATGAGGGGTACCCAGGAGCAGAAAGGACAGAGCCTGGGAACCCAGGAACGCAGATGACGGGGCCTGGAAACCTGGATCAGAGATGATGGGCCTAGAAACAGAGATGACCCAGGAGCAGAGAGAGGAGGGAGTCGGAGGGTCCCCCAGCAAGGGCGTGCATGAACAGCAACAGGAAGCGGCATCTGAGCGCCTTTGTTGGGGCAGGGACAGGGTGACTCAGTGCTTCCTGCTGTGCCCCACACCCTGAGGCCGCTGGCTCAGGACCTGCTAAAATGCGAGCCCTGCTGCGCTGACTGCGCCTCGCTAGCGCTGTCTATGTGTTCCTTTGTTTTCTCCGAAGGACAGAAAACACATCGACCAGGAGCAGTGTCCCACCCAATAGCGGATTCACGAACCATCGGCAGGCAACAAGGGCTCTCACCTTCATCTGGCAAAGGCTGTCCCCAACCTTCAGCAGCTTCTCGTGGTAGAAGTCAGCCGGCAGCCGGGGGGCGTACTTGGTCCAGATATCAAACAAAGAGGTGGCGCTGCAAAGTCCAAAAAAAAAGGCATCTCCACAGTCGCCCGAAGCCTCGATTAATTAACCAGTTAGTTAGCAAGGAAGCCTTTAAACCTATCCTGTGCCAAGCCCTTCCAATGTGCCCCATGGTAAGGTCCAGTTAGTAGCAATGTATGTAACGGTGCTAAAATCACTGCTTCCTGTGTGCAGAGAACAGACCGGCGCTCTTGACACGCACTGGCTTAGATGCACTTTATTTTGTAGGGCAAGGCTGAGCAGAAGAGGCAGAGATTGCCCACACGTCTCCCGCCCACCGAGGCACGGCCACCCCACGGTCGGAGGGTGGCCCAGTGCTAACACGTCAGTATCCCCACGGTGCACAGTGACACGAGGGTCCCTCCTGATGCTGCACATTCTGCGGGTTTGGACAATGTGTGAGGGTGCGTGTTCCCCATCACAGCGTCTCGTGAGGTGTCTGCTGTCTTAAGAGTCCTCTGTGCCTTCCACTCGCTGGCGACACTGACCTCTCCACTGTCCCAGTGCTGCCTTTCCGGAAGTCACCAACTCGGAGTCCCACAGGGTGGAGCCTTCAAACGGGCTTCTGGCACTTAGCAACAGGCGCGTGGAGCTCCTCCGTGTCTTCTCGTGACTCAGTCGTCCATCTCTTAGCACTGAATGATACTCCCCTGGATGTGCCGCAGTTTATTCGCCCACCCGCAAGCTGAATGACAGCTCGCAGGTTCTGGCAATTATAAATGAGGCTGCCAGAAACATTCGTGCACAGGCTTCTGCGTGGACATACGTTTTCAGCTCCTCCGGGTGAGCTCCAAGGAGCAGGACTGTGGGCTCACGGCAAGAATGCATTATTAGCTCTGTGCAGATTCTCCAACTGGCTTCCCAGCGGCTGCGCCCCTCCGCGTCCCCCCAGCGTTGAACGAGCACTCCTGATGCCCTGCATCCCCGCCAGCAGTCGTGCCATCGTGTTCCAGACTTGGGCCTTTCTGAAGGCCTGTGGAGCTGCTGGCTGTTGCCTGAATTTGCATTTTCCTGGTGACACGTCACAGAGAGCATCTTTCTACAGGCTTGCTTGACGTCTGTATATCTTCTCTAGTGAGGCATCTGCTGAGGTCTTTGGCCTGTTTTTTAATTGGGGAGTTTGTTTTCTTAGTGTTTGTTAGTGTTCAATCTTAAGAGTTCTTTGTGTACGTGTAATGACAGTCTATCGCATGTGTCTTTTGCAGGTGTTTTCTCCAAGTCTGTGGCTTGTGTTTTCATTGTCTTCACAGTGTCTTTCACTGAGCAGAATTTTTAGCTCGAGTGAGGTCCAGCTGATCGGTTCTTTCTTTCCTGGATCACGTCTTTGGTGTTGAGGGTGAGAGGTCGTGGTCAACCCGTGGTCATCTAGATGCTCTCCTGTTATCTCCTAGGAGTTTCGTAGTTTTGCATCTTACATATGGGTTTGAGATCCACTTTGAGTTAGTTTTGTGAAGGGAAGGTCGTGCCTAGATTGGCTTTTTCGGCACGTGGATGTCCAGTTGTGCTGGGACCATTTACTGAAAAGACATTTCCCCACTGTGCTGCTTTGCTCTTTCATGGGTCTTCTCCTGGGCTGTATCTCCTGCGGCACAAACCTTCTTGCTGCTCCTTCGCCAACACCACACTGCCTTGAACACTGTCACTTTCAGGAAGTTCTGAGTCAGGCAGGGACAGTCCCCAGCTCTGTCCTTCTCCAAGACCGTAGTGGCTGTCCCGGGCCTTTTGCTTACTTTTTTTCGTTTCATTTTCACAGCCGCTCCAGGATGGTTAATACCAACATCCCAGAGGTACAGCAGATGATGCTGGGGCTCGAGGTGTCTTAAGGGCCACGTGACTATGGCCACCAGGCCTCTGGAGCCTGGGGATGAGGGCCACAACTGTCTAGCCACCATCCTGCCCCAAGAGTAGGGAGTGCCTAGTGCCTGGAGGTGCTCAACAAATATTTGCCAAAAGAACGCGTGAGTGACGGATGAATAAAGGAAACATTCCTTGTTCTTATTTCATTCTTTTCTGTGAAAGGTTCTAGGGCTCAAATATCCCGTCGACACATTTAGGGTTACGCTCCCTTCCTCCAGGTAAACAAAATCAAAGCACAAAATGGTTTCTAAATGGATTGTCACAAGGTGGCAGATTACTGCTTATGTAGTTCATTCACTCCGTTCCCAAGTGTCCGATCCTATCGCATCCTTTTCCAGACGATGTCAGTGTGATGCCCTGAATGCTGCCCCCAAGTTCATGTGTTGAAGCCCGCCCTGGAGAGGCTGTACTTAGAAGCAGGGCCTCCCAGGAAGCCAAGGAGGCTGCACATCAGGATGGCAGCCCAGTCAGATGGGATTCACGCCCACCAAGAAGACACCCCAGAAAGTGTGCTCTCTGTGCTCCCTCAGAGAAAGGGCTGTCAAGCACAAAGCAGTCTTCCACAGGCCAGAAAAGGACCTCACCAGAGGCCAGTCCTGCCAGGCCTTGATCTGGGCCTCCCGGCCTCCAGGACTGCAAGGAAAGAAACGTTTGTTCTTCAAGCCTCCCAATACCTGGCATTTGTCATGGCAGCCTGAGCCGACCACGGCAGGGGCCTACGCTTAGGGATGAAGATGGCTCTGACACCAGGTGATTATGTGGGAAGGATCACGAGAAACCTCAGCAGAAGCCCCAGCTCATTCACTTGCATAATTAAGTGACACCATGGAGCCACCAGCCGAAGGGACAAAGCGTTCCCACCCCCAGAGACTAAACATGCACTTGTACCAAGTCATAAGCAACAATTCCATAAATGCAGCGGACGTAAATCACAGAACTTTACAGAGAGAGAGATGTTTGGTTGCTGCTTGCCTTTTCACCTTCACCTGCAGCTTCATGAAATGCCACAGTATGAGAATAAATATAATGCCAGAAATGCGCCAACTCTTGCTAGAATTCTTAAATTATGTAAATGAATAGCTAATTCTTCTAACCCTTACTGAGGAGATAATGATGACTAGGTTTGCTACTCATAAGAGAAAAATACCAGCTTCATTAAATCAATCAAGGTTATATAATAAGAGACTTTTTTTCCTTTTTCATGAACCCTAAGTTCAGGTGAAGGCTGCTTGTTGGGAATAGCTTACATAAAGCCTACACAAAGAGGTAGATAACATACGCTACGTAACACACGTCACCAGGGGGCTCGCGTTCCGAGGGCCGTGCACAAGGAAACAAACAGATGGACAGAAAGGGAGGGGTGCACCCGCACTCAAGGGAAAAGTCCTCTGGGGAGCGACAGGCGGGTGACCCCGAAGGAGGGGGCTGAATCTTCAAAGGAGACGCGAAGGCCTGGGGGTCATGCAGCGGGCCTCTCCTCCAGCAAGCCCTGAGGAGGCAGGAAGGGCCAGAGGCTGGGCCTGGAGGGGTGGAAGGGGCTTCCTGGGCTCCCAAAGCAACGGTCGGCAACAGGGAGGCTCTGAGGGCAGCGGGCGCCTTACTCACAAGGGTGGCCCTGGCTGCCACGCGAGGGACGTGAGCTGGGCAGGGGAGCGTGAGGCGGTGCTTTGCTGACGGTGGAGAGGGGAGACAACAGAACCTGACGCTGTGTAGACACGCAGGTGCACGGGGGAGGCACTCCCCGGCTGTCCTTGTCATTCTCAGCAGCAGGATGTGCCACAGTTGCGTGTTCCTTCCTCCTTGAAACTCGGGACTGCCTGCCTCAGGATGCCAGGCTCTCACGGGCTCTCCTCCTCCTCCTCGGTCTCTGTCGGATTCTTCTTCCACCTCCGGGTCACCGCTGGGGCGTCCGGGGGCTCCCCTTTCTCGCCTACGCCCACCCCCTTGGCTACTCCATCAGGTGTCAGGATTTCGGCAGCGCTCCAATCCCAGCCTGCAGACAGCTCGCCTGACCTCCAGATCCAGTGCCCGCTACCCACCACTCGCGCCGCCTGGACGCGGAACCACGCCTGCGTCTGAAGGGGAGAGCGTCGCCTCCTCCCCCTCCTCCTCCCACCACCCCAGGGCACCCCAGCACACGGCCCGTCCTGCCCGCCGTCCTCCCCGCGGGGCCCACGCTAGGCTCCGGGTCCTCATCCGCCACCCCGGGTCTCTCTCCGTCCTTCTCAAGGGCTGCGGTTCCTGGCCCTCCCTGACGGAGGTCCGGCCACCCACTGTGAAGGCCAGGCCCGTGCTGAGCCCGCCAGCCCACTCCCGTTCCATTTCCTCCTCCTAGCATTTCTCTCCTTGGAAAACTCTTCACTCACACATTTAGTTCAGGGGCTGACCCCCGGCCCAAAAGCACGTGCCCCGTGGGGTTTTGTGTCTTCCACCGACCTGTTCCCCTAGCTCCTAGCACGGTCCCTGGCACCCAGCCCGGGCCGAGCAGACGGTTGCTCACGCGCGGGCGACTCGCCAAAAGACGCCCGACGCCTCCTTCACGTCCAGCGCGGGAACAAAACCGGAAGCGAAAG